ACACGTTGTGTGTTAATTTCAGTTAATAGTTTCAGACATACGTCATTACCGCAGTCAGTCAACTGGGCTCCCTGTCTTCGTTTCATCGGGACCCGTACCGCCATAACGGCGCCCCACGTTAAACAGATCAATTAGTCAGAAACTGTCCATCATGCAGCCCCACATAGTAATGATTGCGCTGTTGCCGACATTAATAACTGGGGCAATACCGAGTGGATGGATGTATTGCCTCAATGTTTTCTGTTTATTCATTAATAAGATCGGGGATTGTCTTGCGTGTTAGTGCGTGATTGTGACTTTGATAGTGACATACTTCTGCATCACTTGCTGGCCATGACACTCAAAGGGGCATTATGAATCGCTGAATAATTAACAAGCGGTGGATGTACGGCTAAATCATTGTAAATTTGAATAATGAGAACATCACGGATTTATGTGTCGATGAATATCTGCTGTGACGTGTTTTCTGGAATCGCTGAAAATAGCGGGGATGTAATGTGTGAATGAGTGAGTGAGTATGGTTTTACGCCGCTTTTAGCAATATTCCAGCAATATCACGGCGGGGGACACTAGAAATGGGCTTCACACATTGTACCAATGCCGGGAATCGAACCCTGCCCTTCGGCGTGACGAGAAAACGCTTTAACCAGTATGCTACCCCACCGCTCCCTTAGCTATTTTGAAGATATGTACATCAACCGGATGTCAAGCATTTGAATATAAAACGTCAACGCGAAACAATCTTATTTATTTGCCAGTACAGATTCCAATAGACGTAGAAGACAAATTAACGGTGAAACATATATAAATGGCTCACTGAAAAAGGTTAGCATGTCCTACCGTACTGGTGGCACCGGCCACTCACACAATTTGCATAAAAATGTATGTTTGTTCCTCGGTGACGTACAGCAGTACTGGGGGCACGGGTGGCCCAGTCGTCTTAGGCGCCGCGATTCGCTGTCCCTTGGGCACGCCAGAAACCTATGATTGTGGGTTCGAATCCCGGTTCGCCCCGATTATGTTTCTAGGTTTGTCAGCACCATACCCGTGCTCGTGGGTTTCACCGAAGTGGTAAACGTCTGAGACCTGTATCACTTCGGGCTTTCCTCCCACATTAGGCTGACACGCCGCGATATAACTGGAATACTGTTAAAAGCGGCGTTAAACCAAACTCACTCACTCACTCACGCACAGCAGTACTTCTGTCACCCGACGACGGCATGTAAATAATCGAGTCTTGACCAGACAATCAAGTGATGGACCAGACAATCCAGTGACACATAAGGCAAGATGAGGTGAAATGAGATTTACCGTCGCGTTCAAGAGTGTTCAATTATACCACTCACCATAAGTTGAAGAACACCCTATTCTTGTAATATGACTATTGTTTATCTGTCATGACAGATCGACGATGGTAATATGACAGATTCGGGCGAGCTTTAACTTCTTTTGAGTAGTATATGTCACGGCGTGTCAGCTTTGTGGGAGGAAAGCCCAAAGTGTTCAGCTGTATTGTAGCCTAGCTTCGAGTCAAAGAGCACAGGTGTATTCAACTCGACCTTCAGGTCAAAGAGCACAGGTGTACTCAAGTCGACCTTCAGGTCAAAGAGCACAGGTGTATTCAAATCGACCTTCAGGCGAAAGAGCACAAGTGTATTCAAGTCGACCTTCAGGTCAAAGAGCACAGGTGTATTCAACTCGACCTTCAGGTCAAAGAGCACAGGTGTATTCAACTCGACCTTCAGGTCAAAGAGCACAGGTGTATTCAAGTCGACCTTCAGGTCAAAGAGCACAGGTGTATTCAAATCGACCTTCAGGCGAAAGAGCACAGGTGTATTCAAGTCGACCTTCAGGTCAAAGAGCACAGGTGTATTCAACTCGACCTTCAGGTCAAAGAGCACAGGTGTATTCAACTCGACCTTCAGGTCAAAGAGCACAGGTGTATTCAAGTCGACCTTCAGGTCAAAGAGCACAGGTGTATTCAACTCGACCTTCAGGTCAAAGAGCACAGGTGTATTCAAGTCGACCTTCAGGTCAAAGAGCACAGGTGTATTCAACTCGACCTTCAGGTCAAAGAGTCCAGGTTTATTCAGGCAAAGCATAGTTTGGCTCCTGCATATTTACAGGAACTAATTGTACCATACACGCCTACACGTTCTCTCCGATCACAAGATCAACGTTGCTCGCGGTGCCATGGTCACGTACCAAAACATATGGCGATAGGTCATTTCAACATGCTGGTCCATTCCTATGGAGCAATCTGTCACAAGAAATCCGAGAAACAGAAAATCTGACAAACATTAATAGGACGCCCAAACTTGTCTCTACAAGAGAGCCTTTGACTAGATCAATCATGTTCTTGGCGAATTTGAGCAGTTGTTAATTGGAAAATGCGCTATACAAGTTCTTTATTTAATTTAATTTATTTAAATATTCTAACCAAGCTTCGAGTCAAAGAGTAAAGGTGTATTCTTGCCAAGCTTCGAGTCAAAGAGTACAGGTTTATTCTAGCCGAGCTTCAAGTCAAAGAATACAGGTTTATCCTAGCCGCGCTTCAAGTCGAAGAGTAATTAATGGTTGTCACCCGTTTGGAAGCTATACACCAAATATAAAACGCCAACGTAAAAGACAAAGTTAGGTCTTGATGTCTGTACTCTTTCATTTTAATGATGTGGAAGAACATGTTTCGAAGGATGCTCCGGAACAAGAATTAATATAGTTAAAGATACGAGGTACGACTTATTCGTAGAACTGTTTTATTACATTAAACTTCTCTATGATTTTTCTAGGGAGCCACAATCACCTTTACTACATGATCATTAATAATTTGCACATGATGAATTTTAATACTATAATTGCATATCATGAATTATAATATTATTATTGCACCCGGTTAATGAATGTTTATACTAATATAAACTGCCAGGGAAAAGAAAGTAGACACTTGAAAGTTGGATTTGACCAAAACATTACAAATGCTATCCAAACGGTACTGGGCTGGCAACAATCACCGAAATACAACTATGACACCCGTATGAAATACATCACCATCGAATAACCATTTCCTTGTTTTATGTTTGCCGACACACACGGATGTATACTTTCCTTTGCCCGGCAGTATATTTTGCATATGTGAATGTCTATACTATTGTTGCTTATGGTGAATGGTAATACACTCTCTCAAAAAAGAAACGCAACTCCTATATTTTCAAGATGTTTATCTCAATATTCAAGTTATTATAACACATTTATTATTGGAGACAACAATATGAAATTTGGCATGGTGGCAGTACAGTTATGCAAGTTTAAGTCCAGGCTTCGACAGTTCTCTCACTAAAATTGACTTGACGCAAGGGGGCGTCTTTCTCAGTACCTCGTATGAGCGCCACGAGCTGCGATCACAGCATTACACCTCCTAGGAACAGAACGGATTAGACGCCGGATTCTTTCCTGAGGGATTGCTCTCCACTCTTCCTGCAGTGCAACGGCTAGTGCAACCAACGTCTGCATCGTACTCGTCGGTCCAGATAATCCCAAAGATGGTCGATTGGGTTGATGCCTGGTGATCGGGAGGGCCATGGTAACACGTTGACGTTAGAATTCTGGAGAAAATTCACTATTGCATGAGCAGTGTACGGCCGGGCGTTGTCGTGTTGATAGAGCTCCCTATGTTGGTCGATAATCGGCAGAAGATGAGGCTGTACGACGTCATTGATATAGCGCTGGGCTGTCAAATTGCCACGAATGATCACCAAGTCTGATCTTTGGTTGTAAGACATGGCTCCCCACACCATGACGCTCCCTCCTCCAAATCTGTCGACCTGCCGAACACAGTTCGGGGCAAAACGTCCGTTTCCTCTTCTATAGACACGCTTGCTTCCGTCACGGCGTTGTAAGAGAAAACGTGATTCGTCACTAAACCAGACGCTCCTCCAGTTTTTGAGGGTCCATATCCGAACGTTGGTGCACCACCTGAGTCGTTGGCGTCGATGTTCGTGGCGTAAAACAGGTCCAATAAGTGGTCTTCTTGCACGTAGACCGGCCTCTCGTAGACGGTTCCTAATTGGTTGTGCGGACACTCTTCTCAAACCTGGCACCTGTGTTGCAGTGACGGTAGGTGTGGCTAGCCGGTTACGTAGGTGGGTGACCCGGATGAATCGATCCTGAGGTTGTGTGGTAACCCTTGGCCTACCACTTCTGGGGCGATCTTCAGTTGCATGAAACTGGGTGTATCGGCTCCAAAGTCGGGAAATCGTTGTTTTATGACCATTGAGGTGCCGGGCAACGTTTCCAAAGCTTTGTCCGGCCTCAATACGGCCAATGGCGATATTTCGATCTGCAGCACTCAACCGTGGCATATTCGACCTTGTCTTTCGGTGAAAATGATAGAGTGGATCGCTAATCAACACGTGCTTTTATAAACCAATACTTCTACTGCTCTTTCCATGAATTGCACGTGCATGAGGCTTTTGGCATGGGCCACGTGAAAATTATGCTCACTATGATAAAAGTAACAATAAAATGCCCTTGTGCACGAAAATTGGTGTGTTTGGACGCTTACGTTAATCAACAGTGTACATGGTATAAGTGCATATCAAAAGATTTGTATTTACAATCAATATTTTTCTCCTTGGGGTTTTCTCACATTTTTAGACTGGGGTTGCGTTTCTTTTTTGAGAGAGTGTACTATTATTGCATATGGTGAATGATAATACGTATTGCATATGGTGACTGGTAACTATATCATTGCATTCGGTGAATGATATTACTAGTATTGCATATGGTGAATGATAACACTATTATTGCATATGGTGAATGATCATACTTTTATTGCATTCTGTGAATAATGATACTATTATTGCATATGGTGACTGATAACATATTATTGCATATGGTGAATGATAACATATTATTGCATACGGTGAATGATGATAATATTATTGCATATGGTGAATGGTTCCTCCACTTTCGCCCCTGTTGCATGTCTTATAACCTTTCAGACAAGTGACCTTGAGTTATCCAATATCGACAAAACTGATACAAAAAGCGAATGTTCGGTCACCTCTATGGAGAAACATAACAGACAGGTAAGACTGGATAGACAGATATTGCCATGGTAACATGAAGCCATCAATTGACGTCACACAGTACGTTATTATCTTGAATAAGTATGGAAATCAACATTTCCATACAATACTGCATTTGTAAAGGTGTTTTTTCTCAATTATTTCATGATATAGTAATCATATTATAACAATGACAAATGTCCAAACAGGTGTCAGGTTAACGATTTAATTATGAATTTAATGCTTGAATTGTTTTCCCCTCTGAGTCAGGAATGGTATGGAAGCATATAGAGTTTCCTTGTTTGATTAGAACATACATTGACAATTTAACGTTGAACGTTAAATTGGTATACAGGTCCACACCTGGTACATAAGTATTGCAAAGCATGAAGGTAAAATGTTAACTGCAGCAAAAGCCCGTTGGTATTTACATGAAATTAAATAATGTTAGACTAGAGACAAGAAGAAACATATCCTACGCCCTCAAGGATAAATGGTCTTACTTATCCTTGAAAGGGCATCTCAATGTTCATTTATATTAGGGGGAACGGGTGGCCCAGTCGTCTAAGGCCCCGCGATTTGCTGTGCAGAGTTGCGTCCCTTTGGCACGCCAGAAACCTATGATTGTGGGTTCGAATCCCGGTTCGCCCCGATTATGATTCTAGGTTTGTCAGCACCATACCCGTGCTCGTGGGTTTCACCGAAGTGGTAAACGTCTGAGACCTGCATCACTTCGGGCTTTCCTCCCACATTAAGCTGACACGCCGTGATATGACTGGAATACTGTTAAAAGCGGGGTTAAATCCAACTCACTCACTCACTCACTCATTCATTTATATTATGGAGATCAATTAATATGTAAAATACGGGTTATCTTAAAAAAAGAATGTTTGACAGTGTCTCTCTCATTTTCATTTAAAGCTGTGCAACTGGTATCATTCAAACCTTTTAAAACACTAAAATAAATATCACCAAAGAAATTTCCCTTTGTGTCTATCTATGGTAACCTGGTTACGTTTCAGAAGGTCAAAATAAAAGTCATCACAATTTTCCCGTCTCTTTCAAACTGCTGTAATCTCAAATGGAGCATACAAAAATCCATAATTTCATTATAACTTGTGTAATGAACCAGCAAAAGCCAGGGAGAAATTTAATTTGGTCAAATTTTAAAAACAAAACAATAAACTATTTTTTCAGCTGTGCTTCCACAAATTCATAAATTAGAACATGTCACAGTAACTATATACATGGAATGTGAAAAAAATGTTTGATAGTGCAACTACAACGATTGGTTTTCTTGATTTAGAATACATTTAAATGATACAAGTCTACCTTTTTTACCTTCCTGGGACATTTGCGAAACCATCACACAGTGTAAGCATTAATATTTAAAGGAAACTGATCCAGTCTTAAACATACATTTGTTGAAAGAAGACACACGTGCTGACATTTGATACGACACCATCCTGGTGATGAGGGCTGGAAAGAATTACAGGGATGACTGATGCAAATACGTTCTAATTTCAAAAGTAACTGTCACTGTCAAACAAGGGAATATGTTAATATTATTGTAGTGGAACGTTTCAATTGTCATCATAGAGGGATTAAAAATACAAAGGTAATTGGGTGCAAGTACAGAAAACTCACGTTAGTCCAGACCTCGGTTGGCTGGAAACCTGTCTTTCTGGACACTGGATTACTGATAGGAACGACTCTGAACACACAATGCTATTTAGAAAGTGGTCAAATGTAACACATGTTATATTTGGGGTACCACTTTCTGAGTAAAGTACAGATTCTCGTACTTTTGGGGGGTTGAGTCCCGCCCGGGATTCGAACCCACACTGCCAGAGTTATGCTGACTTGGTGTGCTGGCGATTAGGTGCCTCACTCTGGCAGTGTGGGTTCGAATCCCAGACGGGACTCAACCCCCCAAAAGTACGTGAATCTGTACTTTACTCAGAAAGTGGTATCCCAAATATCACATGTGTTACAGGGACTACTTTTTTTAACAATGATTCCTTTATCCTGAAATATGTTAATCCGCACAATTCAAACTACAAGGGCACAATATGGATGAACAAGAGTTTGCAGGTTTTCTAGTTTCAAAAGTCGTAAACAAGGAGACGTCAGCTCTGCCAAAGGAAAGCATTGCCTCTATATTTACGTAAAGCTGGCTGTAGATTATCAGAACCCTTTTAACAGTGTGAGAACAATTGAAAAAAGGTCATTTTAGGTTCGTCTTTGCAGTTGTGCTGTCCGACATTACCGTGTATAACGCATAAAAAGTAAGGGAAAGAACTACACATTTTTCTGTTTTCTGTTAGCAGCATAGGAAATGAATAGTCCGTGTTTGTTTAAACATGGTGTTTTGAAAGGGGTGAGGTCAGGGGTATTTCATGGCCTTTGTTATTCTGCAGGACCTGTACTGTGTCCTGATCAGGCGCTACACAAGAGAAGTTGAAAGACAGAGAAGTGAAGGGGACGACGGTGAGTCAGAAACCAATACATCCACAACATTATACGCTCTGAATCTAATACGCCCAAACAAGTTTTAAAATGCATATTCACCTTTTAAGTTAGCCTGATCGAAAGCGATACCCTTCTTAGATAGGTGTATGGCATTCTCTCATTTACATGGATTATCTGTCTTACTATTATTATACAAAGCTTTTCTTTAGAAATATTTTGTTATGTCGTATGAATGTTCTGATTATCATCAATTATAAGCATGTGCTATGTTGTACTCCTATTGTAAAATACACTTTCGAAATACAATTGTATAAGGAGTTATTTGAGACAAAAAAAAACAAAGCTCACATTTGGCATCTGTCTGACATTTTAGTATATACTCTGCAATCTAATTTGGCTTCTGAATATGAAAACGTTGGACCTGAACTTATTTTTTGTTTTTTTTGTTACATAAGATGGTTGTTACATCAGAACAATCTACACTATTTTAGAAATTGTAGACAACAATAGTTTAGCACAAGGATGTTATATGGTGTCTAATGCTGGTTGTGGTTTTCTCAATCATATTTATTCACATTTTAAAGAATTTCTTGTTTTACTTTTACAAGATGCCATATTTTACATATATGATCTAATTTGCCTGATTATCAACTGTTCAATTATTTGACTTCCAGCACCACACGGTTAGTATGTCGGAGAAGCAGTGAGGTAGATTGTAGTTAGGGGAATAGCATCTGGACACGGTTTCACAAACATGCTAAAGATATGTTGCAGTATTGTCGAAGCTGTTTTCGTAGCAACGACCAACAGGCAATTTTAAGGCGTTGACGGAATAGACAACAACTCGTCAGTTGGACATGACATACAAAGCAAAGCTTGATTTCGGAGACATCACACATATTAGAGTTATCTGTACTTCACGACAGGCGGATCCGAAAGTAGGCCATGATACTGATAAGGGTTCTACCAAATTCTACTTGCGCAAAACGATCTTAGCGCTGCGGTAATCGTAACGTCCGTACTTTAGCATAAACTTACGATTGTCATATCGCTTTGTGTAAGAGGTCCCTAAGGAATATCATCTTAAGCAATATAATAGTTAATGTTTTTGTTATATATAGTTATATATATATATTCAGAAAAATCACGAAAAGAGTGTCGGTATGTAGAAAATCGGTTCTGCGCAATGATGGTCAAACTGTATAGACACTGAAACTGAAGACCTCAGTACACCGGAACAGGTTCCACCCATCTCAGTGTATGGATGTGGCAACACCAATACATTATTCTTGGATTATGATAATCATAGGGATAAAAAAAAAATCGAGGAACGTGTAACTCGACACATCAAGACATCTTGAGGGGAAGCAAATATAAAATGTCAACACAAGGGAATAAATACCCAGTCTCGACTATCCCACGAAACAGAGGGGTAAAAGACAAAATAGCAGTGAGAATTATATGAATGGATCACTGAAAATCAAAGATGACACGAGGTGATCGCATCTTTCTCTGTTTGTGGAACCGTTACCTGAGGGGCATGTTAATGCACATTTATTCCAGGCCTGTGCATTGCCGCCGAGGACAATATATGCACACCCACTTGGTATTTGGTATGTATTTGCGTGGTATATACATGCACAGCTTCTTGCCCATTCAGAACCGCTCGTGCCATTCCGGTTATAAGACCACACGAGTTATACGGAATGAGACGAATGGTTAATTGCTTGCCAAAACGGCTTCTAGCAAGTGCGTGATCGTCCCATGTTTGCTTGATGCCCCTCCGTGCACGATATATCAGAAGAGTTATCTCCCTTTAGGTCGATTCCTTTCGTTCAATGTATCTGGTTAATGATGTGTGTCTGAACCAGCAGAGGCGGTTTTTCGCACGCATGATATCGTATACTTAATCTTTTAGTTTGGATGGTTTAAAGACTGGTATGAAAAATACTCAGCTTTGAAATTCGGTAACATGGTAATGTTAAAGGGAGATCACTCAAACGATTTTATGTTGTCAATAATGATCGGTGTAGTTACATAGAGTCCTTAAGATTGGCTCGTTATCGAGCCTTATTTGGTAAGTTAACGGTACATGCAATGTGTAAATCAATGTACTAATCTGTAGTTTATCATTACACCATACTAGAGATGTAAAGTGTGTTTTTTTTCAACCTATATGTGTTCCATGTGCAATGTTTCAACAGAACACAGAATAGTTTAACGGCATGACCAAATTCAAAGCTTGTTTTTGAACGATCGCAGTCATAATGTGAGATATAAAACAATAAAATGTTAAATGCATTACAAAGTACAAAGGCTGACAAAACATATCCAAATTTGTTAGGTAAGAGCCCGAAGCACTGATCAGAAAGATATCAGTACAATCAGTTAATTAGTTTTGATACTCATCTCACCCTATATGGTGAAATATTTAGCAAATATATTAATAAAAGCATTCATCACGGAACAAAGAAGCAGAGTTTAACCAAAGAGACGTCACACAGTTTACAACTCCCCTGCACGTTAATGATGACATTCAAAGGCGTGTCTTGAAACACTTGCATGTTATAATTTATAAACCGGGCGTTCTTGCAAGGCGGGGCACAGGTGGCCCAGTCGCCTAAGGCACCACAGTTCGCTGTGCAGAGTTGCGTCCCTTGGGAACGCCAGAAACCTATGAGTGTGGGTTCGAATCCCGGTTCGCCCCGATTATGTTTCCAGGTGCTTGTGGGTTTCACCAAAGTGGCAAACATCTGAGACCTGCATCACTTCGAGCTTTCCTCCCACATAAAGCTGACACGCCGTGGCATAACTGGAATACTGTTCCAAGCTGTGTCAACTCACGCACATATGTTCTAACTATGAAGTAATGGAATACAACACGCCTCAATTAATGACACTGGGCGTATTATGGACAACGTTGTTGTCAATGAAGCATGTCATTGGACCGCATCAACACACATTGTTACGGTGCGCATTTGGGACTGTGGTCATTGGCATGGGCAATATTTGTAACATATATGCACTGTAATGTTGTGAGGAGATACGTCCTATTGTGGACTGGCTGCATGGCTATGTCAATGATGCACTTGATGTCACTGTAGGAAGCACACCACAATAAATGCATTCACAGTCACAATCACATTTCATTCTTTGGATTCTTTGTACAAAGATATAATCATACAGGAATATCAGTCATCGCCATGCTCATCTTCCCGAGGCAAGCGTGTCCACTAGCCTATATCAAAGCCTAGTTTCTACCCTTGCCACATCATACCACCTTTCTTGGATCTATTCTGGCGCCACCCCGGAGTTGTGCCCCTTGTTATGAAACAACGCGGTGTCCAATCAGATCGCTGTTCTTATCTCGTATAGCTTCGCAAAGATGGCAACTACCATCGGCGACGACAGAGCCGATCAGATAACGAAAACATTCACCGCTGACACAAGAACATAGGCAATTTGGGGGGGGGGGGGGGGGGGGGAAGGGTATAAAAGATGAAAAAGATATGTCAACAAAGACAGGGGTAAATCACTTTAATGCGAAGGTGTACCAGTCGCGGATGTTGATTTTATTAAACGTTCACTGATTGGACTGTGGATTAGTGCGATAATCCAATCATATTTAGCACAGGAAAGTGGGCTTGGTGTGGCAAGGTTGGAAACAAGACTTTGATGATAAGGCTAGTGGACGCTCTTGACTCGGGAAGATGCGCCATGCTAAATTACCTTGCCTTCAACACAGCTCTACCTTTTCAATAGTTATGTGTATAGATGTGTCAGTTGAATTTAACAGCACAGGTAGTGACAAAACCAGGTTTGGACTGAATGTATGCACCTCCATTGAACCACGTCATCTGTTTCTTTGGTTGAAAGGTTTTGATTAAAATACCTGCTGACAAGCTCTGAAAAAAGGTTTAACCAGTAAAACCTGAAATATAATATATTGATCTGTAATTGTTATAATTAATTACATTAAGGGCGGCAGGGAAATCAGCATACGGAACACTACACAGTAAAAAAATGGAGAATTTTTTTCAGAAATTAAAAGTGTGTGAGTGAGTATGCTTTTAAGCCGCTTTCAGAAATATTCCAGCTATACCACGGCGGGGGACACCAGAAATTGGCCTCGGATATTGTACCAATTTGGGGAATCAAACCCGGCTCTTCGGCGTGACGAGAGAAAGATTTAACCACCAGGCGTCTCCAATGTCACCCGTGACACATGGGAATGTTTCTCTAGGGTTGTATGATTTCCGCCAACTGTTGTTGTAGCTGTTCTTTGTCAAATAAGGACCGAACTGATCACATAAAATCATATTCCACATCGTAATTTGTCTGCACCTTTATGTATCCGCCGATCTCACAATTTTGTAAAATTTTGTATGGTTGGTCGCAACAGAAAAAAATCAATTGAAATATGAAAACTGAAATTTTAATGCTTATTGAAATAATTACTAAACATGTAGAAGGTTAATGTGAAGCGGTCAGTCATCAATATACCAAGTGAGAAAAAACAATATATTTATTTCAGTTTATTTCTTTATACTAGATACATTATATGCGAAACCCTATTTGTTAGAAATCTCAGGGGCGTTCGGGTAGCCTAGTGGTTAAAGCGTTCGCTCGTCACACCGACGAACCGGGTTCGATTCCCGACATGGGTACATTGTGTGAAGCCCATTTCTGGTGTCCCCCGCCGTGATATTGCTGGAATATTGCTTAAAGCGGCGTAAAACCAAACTCATTCACTCACTATTAGAAATCTCTGCTAAACGTCGATTGTACGATTGTCCATTGTAACTTCATTGCTCTGTTTAAACAAAATTAGAATACTTTAAAACATGTCAAGTGTGTCAACAAGTATATCAAACAAACCATCAGAGGGCACCAAGGTTGGTGTGATTGGTCTTTAAGAACATACTTTACCGCCATTGCCATTGGACTGTTTCTTTCAGATGCGTCTGAGGACATGCTGCGGAAGCTGATCGAGCGGGTGACCTCCAAGATTGAGAAGAAGATAGAGGAGCTCTACTCTCGTATCATGAATGTTGAAAGCAACGTCAACAACGTCCAGGAAGGCGAGAGCGACATCGTCAAGCTCCAGCAGGAACACACAGGCCTCATCAAGGACGAGGGTAAAAGGAGGGATGTGGAGGGGGAGAGGTTCCTCCATATGCTGGACCAAGCCAAACTGGAACTTCTGTCCAGGATGGAGGCGGAAAGAATCGAAGTTATCCGAATCTGGGAGGAACAGCTACGGGAAGTGCTGCGAAGACTCGACGACAGCAGAAGACGGGTGGCTGATCGGGTTGCTGATCTGGAGGCACTGCACGCTGCGGATGAAGCTGCAAGACGAGCGGCAGGTCTTCCGAGACCCCGTAGAACTGGACCCGATGAGTAGATGGTGTTGCTATGGGTTAGAGGATATATATCGGAGCCATAGACTACTGTTATAAATTGATGATGACGAAACTGACTAGTTGTGTTTTGGGACTGGATGAAATTTTCTTCCGATTAGGAGATATCTGATCATTTATTGTCGTAGTATTCTTTGAGGCAGTACAGGTACTGTTTGGTTCTCTGCATGGGTAGAAATGATTTTATTTAAACTATAGGTTCTGTAGTAGATCATAGGAGTTGAGCTTACATTTCAAAGATGCAGTGGAAATCTGTAACTGTCCATCTTAAAGTCTTTTTTCAGACATTCAAATGTATACTGCCGGGCAAAAGAACGTATACACTTGACTTGATTCGACCAAAACATTACAAACGTTATTAAAACATAAATAGGCTGAGAACAGTTCCTTAAACACTACAAACGCATTCATTTATATTAGGGGGCACGGGTGGCCCAGTCGTCTAAGGCGCCGCGATTCGCTGTGCAGAGTTGCGTCCCTTGGGCACGCCAGAAGCCTATGATTGTGGGTTCGAATCCCGGTTCGCCCCAATTATGTTTCTAGGTTTGTCAGCACCATACCCGTGCTCGTGGGTTTCACCGAAGCGGTAAACGTCTGAGACCTGCATCACTTCGGGCTTTACGCCCACATTAAGCTGACATGCCGCGATGTGACTGGAATACTGTTAAAAGCGGCTTTAAACCCAACTCACTCACTCACTCCCTTTTAGCCACCAACAAACATGAGCGTATACTTTCTTGTGTCCAGCAGTTACTTTGTATATGTTTTTGTCTGTAATAGACCGACAATTCTCGCCCATAAACACATCAATGATAGGAAGTACTGGTATCATTGCTTACAGGTTTTCTTATGTGGATTTAGGCGGATATTTGTATATGTTTTCAATCACTAAACTAACTCAATGTAAACTAAGGCTGATTATTTGATCAAAATATATGTAACTTTTTGCACAACTACTGTACACTATATGTCGTGTTTTCTTTATAAAAAATATGATTGGCATACCTTATTGAAAATATGTTTTTATGTACATTTAACTTTATCAATAATCAACGGCATGAGACCGGAAATGAGATTCACAATGTAACCATATGATTGGTTGGTTGGTTTGTTGTTTAACGCCGCACTCAGCAATATCCCAGCTATATGACGGCGGTCTGTAAATAATCGAGTCTGGACCAGACAATCCAGTGATTGACATCATGAGCATCGATCTACACAAGTGGGATACGATGACATGCTTCAACCAAGTCAGCGAGCCTGACCACCCGATCCCGATAGTCGCCTCTTTAGACAAGCATAGTCGCCTTTTTATGGCAAGCATGGGTTGCTGAAGACCTTTTATAACCCGGATCTTCACGGGTTGATTTTATTATTAAGAAAGGATCAACCGCTTTATGATATACATTACTCTTGTTAAAGTTTCACTTACAAACAACCAAACTAGCAGATTATACAGAGAATATGTGTCTAGTTTTTGTAAAATAACATGGGATCTTCATTATCTGTCTCTATAACAAATATCGTGGCATTAAGGCTGACTTTAAGGAGCCCGCACCAAGTGTTATTTCACTCGAGGTATGGATATGATATTTTCAGAAAATTCATTGTTTCATCACTGAGTACAGAACTAAAACAACATATGGTGTCAGATTGGTTCTTGGTTCCGGTATAGACAGTTTGGTGCCGTTATTGCCATAGTCCGAGTGCCAAGTTTCCTGACAATCCACAAGGGAAATTGGCAAAGTGTACCGTTATACCACACATCTCAATACGCCGTGCCTTAACATGGGATGCAGCACAAGGGACTCCGATAGCTGCTTGTTTTCATTTGACATTTGACTTTCAATGAATGTGTCAAACATAGGAATCGATAGTACATATAATATAAACTAATTGTACTTTTAATACAGGGACCATATAAGAAATTAAAGTAAGTTTTATTTTATTTCAAAGACGAAAAAAATGAAGGTGTTGATTTTAAGTTTGCAAATAATTATATTCAGTACTTTATCATCAGGCAATTTGTTGATGCGGTGTTTTTGTCAATACCTGTGTAACACGAGTTTTCGGTTTGACCCGGAGCGTGACTGACTACAGGTTTCGTATATTCGTGAAACTCCCGTTATATATCCCCCGGTCCTGTTCACCGATACAATGCTAATATTTTATCTATTTGTGTGTCGATTTTTTATGTGATTCTGCTGAAGAATATGTTATCAGTTATGAGCTATGCAACTGTCAAGATGTAAACGCATTATTGTTCATAGTTATACAATTAAACCCCGTGTGTGTGTTTATCAGGAAAGTGTCCGGTCTATTTCCGTTGAGAACGTGTATATACAAGTGAACATTACTTCGTACTCATGATTTGTATTCTTATGATATGTTCTAGAAAACCAAATCTGCTGATCAATACACGCCTGCAAAGTATAAATTTGGGCATTGTTTTAAAACGCTTGTCAAGACTAATTTGCAAATTTAAGTGTCCAATACCTGATATGGGTCTTATAACGATGATTGTCTATTAAGTGTATTAGTACTGGTGTGTTAAGAGCAACAACTTTATCCATTAGGCTACACCAAGGCAGAATAGAAGCTTTAGATAGTTTGTATATACGAAACGCAATAACCATGTTGGGTTTAGCAGATAGGGTTTTCCGGATGATGGCACCATCCCGATTCTCGCCGTCTGTACATACAGGTATGGACTAATAATTAGATGTTGAACTTCTGTCTTGAGGTGATATGTGTTTCTGAATATGAAAGCCATTTTAATCTATCGATTTTGTAGATTCGGTTGATCATGTGCATTTTACCATAATATATGTTATCAGTTATCATACGGCTAGTAGATAGAACTGTTTTGTAGCTGGCTATGGTACTCGAATATGCTAGGTCACATAATACATCGGCAATAAAAAAAGGTCTTTTCAAATCTTTTGTTTGTATTTCTGTCTTGTAAAACAAAAAGAATATCGTCCAAGAGATTTAGTTTCTTAAAGCAACATTTGCAGTGTTGTCAAACATGCACCGCTTCCATCTTGTTTCCTGTTTGCTCTAATCTCACAACATTTAGTGAGTGAGTGCTGTTATATGCCGCAGGCAGGCAAAATTCCAGCTTCATCACAGCGACCTGTGATATATAATTGATTATGGACCAGGCAAACCAGTGATTGATAACATGAGCAACAGTCCACGTCATCGGGGCATGATGACACACAGTGAGCGAAGTCAAAGAGGGAGACCACTTGATGAAATGCAGTCTATCTCTTACTACCATTCCTTATGATCTACAGGGGGCACGGGTGGCCCAGTCGTCTAAGGCGCCTCAATTCGCTGTGCAGAGTTGCGTCCCTTGGACACGCCAGAAACCTACGATTGAGGGTTCGAACCCCGGTTCGCCCCGATTATGGTTCTAGGTTGGTCAGCACCATACCCGTGCTCGTGGGTTTCACCGAAGTGGTAAACGTCTAAGACCTGCATCACTTCGGGCTTTCCTCCCACATTAAGCTGACACGCCGTGATACTGGAATACTGTTAAAAGCGGCGTTAAACACAACTGACTCACTCACTCACGATCTATATTAATTCTAACCCGGTACTGGGTTCCAAGATGTCTGCCATTGAGCATGCGCATAGTGTTGACAGGACCATAGCGGCGGCGAATCTGGGATTCGAACCCACAAATTAAGGATTGATGCATCTCTGAAAGGAGCTTGGCATGACGGATAAACTGTACTGATGTGAAAGAATCGGGTGATCCTTAACCTTTTTTAGTTGTTGATATCCCTTGTTTGTTCGTTGTTTAACGCCGCACTCAGCAATAGTCCAGCTATATGACGGCGGTCTGTAAATAATCGAGTCTGGACCAGACAATCCAGTAATTTTGACATCATGAGCATCGATCCACGCAACTGGGATACGATGGCATGCATCAACCAAGTCAGCGAGCCTGACCACCCGATCCCGTTAGTCGCCTTTTTGGGTTGCTGAAGACCTATTCTACCCCGGATCTTCACGGGTCAGATATCCCTTGTACAATAACTGTATAGAGGTGCCTCGGATTAGATTTATATGGGAGACCGACAGTGACGGAGAGATTGGACATTCGACGTCAGACTCGAGTGGAGGTTAGCCTTCCGTTGACCACCCTATCCCAGCAAACCTTATATTTTGAGTATGTTTTTACGCAATATTCCAGCATTAGACATTAGAAATGCGCTTTACACATTGTACCCATGTTGGGAATTGAACCCGGGTCTTCGGCGTGACGAGAGAACGTTTTAACCACCAGGCTGCCCGACCGCCCCTTTGACATCACGAGCGAACGCTTTAACCACCAGGCTACCCGACAGCCCCTTTGGCGTGACGAGCGAACGCTTTAACCACCAGGCTGCCCGACCGCCCCTTTGGCGTGACGAGCGAACGCTTTAACCACCAGGCTGCCCCACCGCCCACTTTTAAACAACATTTGAGAACAATTCTGACAATACTGCTGTTTTGCTTTCAATACACATGACATTTGTCGCAGCACGCCAAAAATAATAATTTTGTGAACCTTACAAAATACGTGTTTTATTTACCGTTCATCAACACTTCAAATAACAGTATCACAGCTTACTACACAAAACAAACGTCCCAATAAACGCGACTGAGACGCACTAGACAAAACAAACGTCCCAATGAAAAGATCTACCACAGTTTCGGTGTGGTTGATTAACCCTGCGAATAGAAACTGGGTTCCGTTAGGTCTATAAGGTAAGTCTATGTTCAGGTATGGGAGAAACGGTCACCTTAGCGAAAAAATCGCTTTGTATAACAGCACCCTGGCTACCACACAGCTTCCAAAAGCCCCCTTATGCAGAGAGCATGCATGCCCTCTTGTCCTGTCTGTTGAAGATGAGGTTTGTTTGTTTTTGTGTTGGACGCCGCACTCAGCAATATTCCAGCTATATGACGGCGGTCTGTAAATAATCGAGTCTGGACCAGACAATCCAGTGATTGACATCATCAGCATCGATCTACGCAATTGGGATATGACGCCATGCATCATTCAAGTCAGCGAGCCTGACGACCCGATCCCGTTAGGCGCCTGTTATTACCAGCATGGGTTGGTGAAAACAAATTCTTGCCCGAATCTTCACGGGTTTGAAAATGAGGTACATTTAATCATAACCTGTCCTTTTTTATGACGATCAACGACATATAATTTGTAATTAATTATTTTTTAACTTTTAAATTATTTTTTTATCAATTTACAAAAATATGTTTTCATTATGAATAACTGTGCAATGTTTAACACATACGTTAGTGATGCGTTGTAAAATGTCTAAGAGATGATGTAATTTTATCAAATAATTTATTTTTAGATATTTTAATGTATTATGTATGCTTGTGTGTTTTAGTATATTTATGGCCGGGTATTACATTCTCTACATGGCCCACTATTGTTTGTTTGTTTGTTTTTTTGTTGTTCAAAACGTCTTCTTCTTGTTAAGTCCGAGGCCGAGGCAATGTATGTCTATTTTAGTTTGTTTTCATCCCCATGTCTCTTTTCTTCCACCATTCTACAATCGGGTCATCTTTTCCCAACGGCTTTACCACGTCTTCGGCCATTGGGTAATATATCGTGTTCCTTATATGGTATTCTCTCCCAGAATTCCTGAATCCAACACGAATCTTGTCGCGCACGGTTACGGGACATTCCCATTCAGTTGAAGGGGTGTCGGGTGGCAAGTCATGTTGAGCAAACGAAATCTCCGGCTGGAGGGCGACGTTACAGTTATCACACTCAAATCCGTATCGGGAATTATCGACCGGGTAACACGGTGCGAATGTGGTGATGAAGTAGGTTATTTTATTGAATTCAAAGACCCATCCCCTCCTGGCGATGTAGGACTTGTCCATACACCGGTACCCGGTTGGATCGTGGTCGGATATTTGTTTCAGCACACGCCTCACTGCGTCTCCAAATATCTGAAACAGACAAAACAAAATTTAATATTGAACAACTGAACTCTGACACTCAAATGAATGTCTGTGTTTTAACAACATTGTATTGTTTGTTTGTTTGTTGTTTAACGCCACACTCAGCAATATTCCAGCTATATGACGGCGGTGTGTTTATAATCGAGTATGGACCAGACAATCCAAGGATTGTCGTCATAAGCATCGATCCACGCAATTAGGATACGTTGGCATGCATCAACCAAGTCAGCCAGCCTGACCACCCGATCCCGTTAGTCGCCTCTTACGGCCAGCATGGGTTGCTGAAGACCTATTCTACCCCGGAGTGAGTTTGTTGGGTTCAACGCTGCTTTGAAAAGTATTCGACTTATATCACGGTTTGTCAGCTTGATTTGGGAGGGAAGCCCGATGTAATGTAGACGAGGCAGATAGCGATAAAAGATATTTATCACGATATATCATTTGAGAATTCAGGGAAAGTAGTGGCCCCAGTCACCCTTGCAGTAGGCGAGAAAATGGATCTGGTGGTCATGCAGGCAAGGTGACTTGGTTCGTGGCATGTCATCGTTTGAAACATCTTTCCGAGGTAAGAGAGTTAACTGACTATAAAAGTCCAAGTTCCATCCTTGCCGAACTTGGCTGGTATTATGGAGTAATATTTCAGCTGGACTAACGAGTCTATGCATAGCCAGATCAAAATGGCGCAACGACATCGAAATACGGTTCGTCAACTTTCGTGCAGATTTCGGTCGATTGCAAGATTTGCAAAGCATGTGCACCGCCAACTCGTTGCCAACAGTTATTTTCCAAATCTTGTCATGTTTTTAATCAAGATTCTCGTGTGATTTGATGCACTTCGAGATGTAAGACCCGTTTTATCACAATATAGATCTTGATTATCGATCAGATCGTCTTGACTGGACTCCGCCATTTTGTTTGTAACAAATGCAAGCGATACGATATGTGGAATCTGATTGGTCCATAGGAGAGGCTTAGAAGGGACATAATTCGTAATGACCACCGGTGGCGCTACGACCTGACCCAGGAATTCCAGCCAAGTTCGGCAAGGGTGGAAACTGGACTTTTAAAGTCAGTTAACCCTCTTGCCTCGGGAAGATGCGTTTGAAAGAGAAGCGAGGGTGAGGAAATAGGGTATAACGTGGGTTCAAGTGATACCATGCCGCAGTTTAACATGGATACCCAACTCAGACACAGTTTACTGATTCCGAGCCGTCCAGTCCTTGTTTTAGCCCCTCAATGCCGAGCGCCAGACAGGGTAACAACAAGTACCCTCTTTTAACGTCTTTTGGTATAACGCGGCCTGTGATCGAACCCCCGAGACGCTCTTCCACTGGACCACAGAGGCAATTTAATGGGAATTTTGTGAGCACGTTTTATAGTTAGAAACAACATAGCTGGAAACATTCATGCAAAGGTGCGGCTTCATAGACTTGTCAGTTTCACAGGGGTTGTCGATAATGGAAACGTTAACGACAGACTGACGGACACAAGAAGACACGGATGCCGAAATGCGTTTTGTCTGTATTTCGTGAGTGGTTGACACTAACTGTTGACTGCAAGGTCAATAAAATTTGTCCACATTGAAAAAAATAAACAAAAAGCAAAACAAAAAACGATGAACATCGTGCCATGACAAAAGCTCTGTTGACTTTGTCAGGTGAGCTAAATATTTAGTGCCACGCCCATTCAGTAACGAGACCTCATTATTAGATACAACTTCTAAGCGTCAAAGATCAGCTTCGCGGAGTCTTGTGGCATTTAGGCGCTGCTGAGACCAACCACCAGTGATTGCTTACTGTTACAACGAACCGCCTTATCCTATATCGGCAGTTGTCAAAATATTAAAGTATATTTAGTATTAAACGTTGTATTTAAAACAAAGTATCTTGTTTTGCAGCTGTAGCTGAAATGATGGAAAAAAATATCCATTCTCCATAAAAAATCCCAGGCGCCCCGTAGAATATCAAAAGGTCGGTCCCTTAATGACCTTAATAATATCCATTCTCTACCGTCATTTTGGTTTGGAAAGATGACGTTAGTGGCGTTTCCTTGGCAACAATCCAGATGGCGGCAAAGTTTGTGGATTAATGTCTGTGCATGTGACAGACCGACCGATAGAGTCATTTTCTTTAAGGTGGGTGCTGAAGTAGTTTAAAGCCGCACTCGTGGGTTGTAAAAATAGCAATGACTGATTTATGCACTGGCGCATTTTCTTGATGGAAGAGTACAACTTTTCTCAGCTTCCCACGTCTCTTAGTATAAATTTCATCCATTCAGTTAATTGCACCAAAAGTGCAGCATAAAAAGCTCCGTTTATTCCGGCCTATTGAAAGATAGTCCACCACAATGACACCAAGGGAGTTAACTGACCGTAAAAGTGGAAACTGGACTTTTTTGAGTCAGTTAACAACCCTTGCCTCCGGAAGATGCAGAATAGGACGCCATACCTTTCAGCTAGTGGGGCAGTCTTTGTCTTCTTTGATGTCAAATGCTTCCACTGTTCTTTGCTATTGGTCAGCCCAGATTTCATCCATTGTCACAAATAGTTGCAAGAGCAGTTCTGGATTATCAAGGCTTGATAATCACGAACATGTTGTGCCTTGTACGTTTTTGATCAGATTTTTGAAGGTCTGGAACCCAACAAGCTGATACTTTCTTCACTGTTTCTGTGATCATGGAGTGTACCCTCTCCAGTACTGAACTAGTCACATGACGCTCAGTCATTCGCTGCCCACTCCTTCACGGTGTCATAGTTGGTTTGTTGTTGAACGCCGCACTCAGCAATATTCCAGCTATATGACGGCGGTGTGTAAATATTTGAGTCTAGGCCAGACAATCCAGTGATTGATATCATGAGCATCAATCCACGCATTTGGGATCGATGACATGCATCAACAAAGTCAGCGAGCCTGACCACCCGATCCCGTTAGTCGCCTTTTACGACAAGCAGAGTCACCTTTTACGGCAAGCATGGGTTGCTGAAGACCTATTCTACCCCTGAATCTTCACGGGTCGACGGCTGTCTGTAAATAATCGAGTCTAGATCAGACAATCCAGTGATTGACATCATGAGTATCGATCCACGCAATTGGGATACGATGATATGCATCAACCACGTCAGCGATCCTGACCCCCTGATCCCGTTAGCCGCCTCTTACGACAAGCATAGCCGCCTGTTAGGAGAAGCATGGGTTGCTGAAGACCTATTCTACTCCGGTTCTTCACGGGTCCCACCACGAATGATTCTACCCATTATTGACTCTCACATGGGGTTAAATTACGATCATTTTGTTTTACATCACATCGATGGAAGATCATAATACGATTAACAAACTGTGATAAGTATACAATTACTGCTTTATGCTACTTTTAGAAACCGACCAATTCATATTCTGGGTCGGGGAGGCTGAGATTTTAGCAAAAACATATTTTGTCACGGAAAATTCTTGAAAAAAATAATTATGCTTCAGACTGTTTAAAAAAAGAAAAAGTGCCTGTCACAAAAACATATTGTTGCAAGGTGTTTTTCTTTTTAAAAAAATATAGCTCATAGATTTTAATTAAACAATATCTGGTTTTGAAGCTGTAGGTGTAGCTGAAAATATAACCAATCTCGATACAAAAACGACCGATCCTCTACTCTGTGCGACAACAGTTTCATAATAACTCGCATAACGTTAACCTATCAAGTCTGCACTCGTGCTCTGCCCATTAGCCACGATGCTGTATGTACTGCAACGTCAAACAAAAATCTCCATGTAATCACAAAATAATTTCAACACATAAATAACGAGTCAAAAATGGTTTTGCTTACAGCTAAATGTGATAGGCATGTGAGCTCTGCACCCTGATACGTAACAACATAGATTAACGGTCATAAACAATATTAACCATAAATGGGATATATGTAATGTTGACGGGAAAAATTAGTCCGTGGACTGTAATTGATGAGAAATTACCCACTGACATTACACTGGGTTGCCGGTTCACCTAGACGCACCCCCTTGGCGCTGATTACTGCAAGCTGCGTTGGATTGCGGTAATTGGTTGTATGTCAAAGGACACAGTGAGACTCTGTCTCGCTAACCATTCACGACGATCTATGTATTCCGATCGTATCAATTCCAAGTGAAATTTGGTGAAGAAAAGTTGCAAAAAGGAAAAAAGCCGAATCCGACGGGTCATATAAACTTTCTGTTACAAGGGCGGATCCAGCAATTTAGAGTGAGTGAGTGAGTATGGTTTTACGCCGCTTTTAGCAATATTCCAGCAATAACACGGCGGGGGACACCAGAAATGGGCTTCACACATCGTACCCATGTCGGGAATCGAACCCGGGTCTTCGCCAGCATTTTAGTACGGGAGGGTCCAATAACAGAATCCTCTCTCAGTTGGTTGGTTGGTTGGTTGGTTGGTTGCTTGACGCCGCACTCAGCAATATTCCAGCTTTATGACGGTCTGTAAAATAATCGGGCCTGACCAGACAATCCAGTGATTGGCAGCATGAGCATCGATCCCCGCAATTGGGATACGATGACATGCATCAACCACGTCAGCGAGCCTGACCACCCGATCCCGTTAGTCGCCCCTAACGACAAGCACCTCTCTCAGTAGGGTGAGGGGTTATTCCTCTACAACATAGTACATTTCGTTTATAAAAGGGTGGTGGTGGTCCAGACCACCTGGACCCCCCTCCCCTCCCCTCCCCCTCCCCCTCCCTTTCCAGGATCCGCCTATGTATTATGAATAATATCTGAATCCATTTGCAACAATATCACTATGGATTGGATCAGACTCAATACGATCCAACGGAGGTAAAGGGGCCAGTGTATTTATCACAATAGAACAGGTATAAAATGCACTGGCTTCATGCAGATCATATTTTCATATTTTACGTTCGCATCAATCGCCTCAAAGTACAATAGTGAGATGAGGTGAAATTGGGTTTAATGTCGTGTCCAAGATTATAGCACTTATATAGCAACGTGCCTGCACATGTGTGTGTGTGTCTGTGGCTGCTTGTACTAGTCCGGACTGATGCCGATTTATAGTGCTAGCTCACTGAGATGCCATGCCGCAGTTTAACATGAATATCCCACTCAGACACAGTATACTGACTCCGAGCCGACCAGTCCTTGTTTTAGCCCCTTAATGCTGAGCGCCAGACAGGGTAACAACAAGTACCATGTTTTAACGTCTTTTGGTATGACGCAGCCGGGAGGCGAACCCCGGACCTTCCGGTCTTCGGGCGGACGCTCTACCACTAGACCACGGAGGCGGTCAAGAGTACAATAGCAAAGAGATACGTGTATTTGGCAAAAGGCAAACTTGTCGGGAAACATCTTCCCGTGGCAGAGTGTCTACTTGCCTATTAAAAAGTCCAGTATGATATAGACTAGTGGACACTCTTGCCTTGGGATTATTAATTATTTCAAGGTGCAGTTATTACATGATTCTTTTAAGAATGATAAAACACATCAGAACAGGAAATGAATGCTGTTTTGGTTCTGGCATTGTGCTGCTGGTTCTGGCATTGCACTGTTGTTGGTTCTGGTGCTGTTGTTGGTTCTGGCATTGTGTTATTGGTTCTAGTGTTGTGCTATTGTTGGTGCTGGTCCTGTTGTTCTGGTGCTGTGCTGTTGTTGGTTCTGGTGTTGTGCTGTTGTTGATGGTGGTGGTTCTGATGTTGTGCTATTGTTGTTGGTTCTGGTGTTGCACTGTTGTTGGTTCTGGTTCTGTTGTTCTGGTGCTGTGCTGTTTTTTGTTCTGGTGTTGTGCTGTTGTTGGTTCTGGTGCTGTGTTGTTGTTGTTGGTTCTGGCGTTGTACTGTTGGTTCTGGTGTTGTGCTGTTGTTGGTTCTGGTGCTGTGTTGTTGTTGTTGGTTCTGGCGTTGTACTGTTGGTTCTGGTGTTGTGCTGTTGTTGGTGCTGGTCCTGTTGTTGTTGTTCTGGTGCTGCTGTTGGTTCTGGTGTTGTGCTATTGTTGTTGTTGGTTCTGCTGTTGTGCTATTGTTGTTGTTGGTTCTGGTGTTGTGCTATTGTTGTTGTTGGTTCCAGTGCTGTTGTTGGCTCTGGCATTGTGCTGTTGGTTCTAGTGTTGCACTGTTGTTGGTTCTGTTGCTGTTGTTGGTTCTGGTGCTGTGCTGTTGTTGTGCTGTTGTTGATGGTGGTGGTTCTGGTGTTGTGCTGTTGTTGGTTCTGGTGTTGCACTGTTGTTGGTTCTGGTGTTGCACTGTTGTTGGTTCTGGTGTTGTGGTGTTGTTGGTTCTGGTGCTGTGCTGTTGTTGTGCTGTTGTTGATGGTGGTGGTTCTGGAGTTGTGCTGTTGTTGGTTCTGGTGTTGTACTGTTGTTGGTTTTGGTGTTGTACTGTTGTTGGTTCTGGAGTTGTGCTGTTGTTGTTGGTTCTGATGTTGCACTGTTGCTGGTTCTGGTACTGTGTTGTTGTTGGTTCTGGAGTTGTGCTGTTGTTGTTGGTTCTGGAGTTGTGCTGTTGTTGGTTCTGGAGTTGTGCTGTTGTTGGTTCTGGAGTTGTACTGTTGTTGGTTCTGGAGGTGTGATGTTGCTGGTTCTGGAGTTGTGCTGTTGTTGTTGGTTCTGGTGTTGTACTGTTGTTGGTTCTGGAGTTGTGCTGTTGTTGGTTCTGGTGTTGTACTGTTGTTGGTTCTGGAGTTGTGCTGTTGTTGTTGGTTCTGATGTTGCACTGTTGCTGTTTCTGGTGCTGTGTTGTTGTTGGTTCTGGAGTTGTGCTGTTGTTGTTGGTTCTGGAGTTGTGCTGTTGTTGGTTCTGGAGTTGTGCTGTTGTTGGTTCTGGAGTTGTACTGTTGTTGGTTCTGGAGTTGTGCTGTTGCTGGTTCTGGAATTGTGCTGTTGTTGTTGGTTCTGGAGTTGTGCTGTTGTTGTTGGTTCTGATGTTGCACTGTTGCTGGTTCTGGTGCTGTGTTGTTGTTGTTTCTGGAGTTGTGCTGTTGTTGTTGGTTCTGGAGTTGTGCTGTTGTTGGTTCTGGAGTTGTGCTGTTGTTGTTGGTTCTGGTGTTGTGCTGGTGTTGGTTCTGGAGTTGTGCTGTTGTTGTTGGTTCTGGTGTTGTACTGTTGTTGGTTCTGGTGTTGTACTGTTGTTGTTGGTTCTGGTGTTGTACTGGTGTTGTTCTGGTGTTGTACTGTTGTTGGTTCTGGAGTTGTGCTGTTGTTGTTGGTTCTGGTGTTGTACTGTTGTTGGTTCTGGAGTTGTGCTGTTGTTGGTTCTGGTGCTGTGTTGTTGTTGGTACTGGTGTTGTGCTGTTGTTGTTGTTGGTTCTGGTGTTGTACTGTTGTTGGTTCTGGAGTTGTGCTGTTGTTGTTGGTTCTGGTGCTGTGTTGTTGTTGGTACTGGTGCTGTGTTGTTGTTGGTACTGGTGTTGTACAGTTGTTGGTTCTGGTGTTGTGCTAATGTTGTTGTTGGTTTCTTTCTGCTACAACTTTGCCATTAAGAATCCGGCAAACATGAGATCCACATACCGTGAAATTGGCATTTCAAGGATATTTACCAACTCCCTGTCATTTGAAGTGCAGAAACTCAACTTAAATCTATGTCTAGGTGTTCCACTTCATTTCTGACACCAACTGTAATGTTTGTTATCTTGTCGGGGAATAACGGATGACACAGTACTTGACATTATTTCAGTATATAATGTAACCATGTGGTAGCTACATGTAGGACGCCATTCTCATAACCAGAACGAGGCTCATTGATACTGGGTCACGTGACCATATACCGAGTAGCACCCCACCCATGAAAACTTAATCCTGTTTAACTGGCTTCCTGTCCCAATTGCGTGGATCGATGCTCATGATGTCAATCACTGGATTGTCTGGTCCAGACTCAATTATTTACTGACCGCATTCATATAGCTGAATAGTGTGACGATAAACAACAAACAAACATATCATTCTGACTTATTTGACAATGGCATAAGGATCTATACCGAAACATCGCCTAAAATAAAGAAGTCGTTATCCAAACATTGTGTCTACTTTGCCATTCGTCAACTTCTAAGAAATGCTTATCAAACAATATAGCTAAATATAGCTTGCACTGCAATCATTAGAACTTTGGTAATTGGTTGTCAGCACCTGTGCTCGTGGGATTCACCAAATCGTTAACACCCACATCAATGTGTATGTCATAGCGACTGATTTACGACATCCATTGTCTGAAGGACATTTGATTGCAAAGGCTCATTACCCTGGAGCCATGACATCTATATGCCTTGAAACACTTAATTGCTGTTATTTATAAGATGCTAATCCTATTTGTTAATCCCCATTTTTGTGTATATCGGCCGTCTGCCATCCTGAACAAGATATGCAAGTATGTCACGGATGATTTACTGTTTACATTTATATTTATTACTTACTTAATGTCAGGTGACCTTGGTTATATAAGCCTTGGCCCAGAGAGAAGGGGTTTTAAAAAATTTTAAAATTCCAAAAATTCAATATAATTAAGCAACCCCTAAAAGCCCCCTCTTGGGTTGCACACATCACTTTCACCCTTTTGGCAATACACTAAATGGCCTGGCCAGGCCAGTGTGCGAAATACGCTACAGTCGGAAAGCACACGTTAAATCTCCTATATCAGTCAGTCAGAGAAGGGGTTTGACGCTCATACCAAGCAGATCTCTCTCTCACAGCCCAGAGAGTTGAACCGACTCTCTGTGGCACCCTCAGCTATATTCTACAATGTTCTAAGTAATTGTAAATTGTTCATTGTTAATTGTTCTTGTAAATAAAATTGTGATTAGTCTCCTGTGACTCCGGCTCTTTGGTAACAAATTCCCCCAAGAAAACCAGCACGCCATTTGGAAGGTTTTGTTCATCCGAACAGAACCAAACATTCCATAATAATAACTGAAATAGCAAACAGCATGAAACACAACTCACTCACTCACCCCATATAAACAAAAATGGAGACGTGCAAGCTAGGGCTGGGACGGGTAACTCGGAGACTGGATAATCAGGTCGGGTTGGTCCCAAGTAGGACCCGGGTACCCACAGGAATACCCGGACCCATGGTTAGTCAAGTGATATATTGTTTAAATGACAAAACCTCACTATAGCTCAGTGGTTACACCACAAGTCGCTAATGTTCGCATTTCTTTCTGACGATGCACACATTCCTTTTGACTTGTATATGTTTGAGTAAAGACAAAGCTTCAATCAATTTCAGCGTACGCATGATCTATACATGTATCAGTTTTGGAAAAGGCTGCGGTAAAACAGTTCCAAATCAGACACTTTGTTCCCAACTCTTGAGACCTGCAGTGGATACCCGGTTAGGGTCAGGCAATTGCGGGTCGGGTACCTGGGTAGTAAATTTGGACTCGTCCCAAGCGGTGTATAAATTTGCTTCGACCCAGTAGGACTTAATTGCAATAAAGGACTTACATTTACGTCCCTTCCATATTCCTCTCCAGGAAGTTCTATCAGAAACATATCCAATCCAAGCTCTTCACAGACCATGCTGAATTTCAACAGAGTGGGAAGTGATCTGAAACACATGTTCGTGAGCTGAACCATTTTAAAACATATCACACAGGCAAGCGCCAGAAAAATCAACTCATCTGCAAGTGAGTGACTGTCATCATGATTATAAGTGAGTATAGTTTTACGCCACTCTTTGCAATATTCCAGCAATAGCACGGCGGGGGACACCAGAAATGGGCTTCCCAAATTGTACACATGTGGGGAATCGAACCCGGATATTTGGCGTGACGACAAAACCTTTTAGCTTCGAGCCTACCCCACCACCCCTTATGGTTATAAAGCTATTTGTTTGTTGTTTAACGCCACACTCTGCAATATTTCAGCTGTATCATATATTTGAATACAGCCTGTAAATAACCCACTCTTAGGCTAAAAAAATAAAAGTCTTTGTTCTCAGGGACCACCCGCATCATCATAAAGTCTGTCGCATGTTATGTTTTTATTTCCATTTTCAAAAAAAATTAAAAATCCTAATACTTAAATACAATGCACAAAAAATGGAAAATGGAAACAAAAACGAAATGTGCAATGAACTTTATGATGATGTGGACAGTGCCTGAGAACGAAGACAATAATTCTTCTTTAGCCTTAGCCACAATGCCGATTGATGAGATAAAAAAATATTTGACAACCAAAAAGTACATCATGTCCAATATGATGTTGCTGCATCTTTTAAAAAAATATAACATAAGACATATATATATATATACATGTATTCTAGTTTTAAAGTGTACAAGGACCCAAGCACCTGACCCCAGTGGTGGTCTGACTGGACCAAGGCCACAATCTCAAAATACAATGTTAAAATTCATCTAAATTTTCAAAATACGAACTATAAAAAATCCCATTTCAAGAAAATAATTGTTGTCTTCAAAATGCTTGCCAGTGCAACATACTGTAGAAACCTGAAAACTATCCCTATAGGAACTGGATTTGGAGAAATAAGCAGTTGGTTACCATGGTTACTAGACAGATGACAGAAATATCCTTGTGTTTGATTGTTTGTTGTTTAATGCCACACTCTGCAATATTCCTGCTATGTGACTGGTGTCTGTACATAATCAAGTCTGGACCAGAAAATCTAGTGACTGACATCATGAGCATCAATCCACTTAATTGGGATACAATGGCATGCATCAACCAAGTCAGCAAGCCTGACCACCAACTCCCATTAGTCGACACTTACGACATAGTCGCCTTTTACGGCAAGCATGGGTTGCTGGAGATCAAATTCAGATCTTCATGCAGACCCGTGAAGATCCGGGGGAGAATAGGTCTCCAGCAACCCATGCTTGCCGTAAGAGGCGACTAATGGGACCGGGTGGTCAGGCTCGCTGACTTGGCTGAAGCATGTCATTGAATCCCAATTGCGTGTATCGATGCTCTTGATGTCAATCACTGGATTGTCTGGTCCAGACTCGATTATTTACAGACCGCCGTCATATAGCTGGAATATTGCTGAGTGTGGTGTTCAACAACAAACAAAACCAAAAACGGATCCTCATGTGGATTATCTATTGAGTAGTCGTAAGGCTAACGCTATATTGTTATGTCATGCACATTAGAGCATCCGGAGATGGCTATCCAGTGAGAGCACATGGCAACAGTCACATGTAAGCTATGGGAATAAACTATTCTTGAACTATCACATCAACTATATCCTTTTGATATCAGCTGACATTGAACATGTGAGTGAGTGAGTGAGTGAGTGAGTGAGTGAGCAAGCGAGCGAGCAAGTTGGGTTTAACGCCACTTTTAACATTATTCCAGTTATTCCACAGCGTGTCAGCTAAATGTGGGTGGAAAGCCCCAAGTATCAGGTCTCAGACATTTACCACTTCGGTGAAACCCACGAGCATGGGTATGGTGCTGACAAACCCAGAAACATAATCAGGGCGAACTGTTGAATATGTTGAGGTGAGCCGATTAAACAACACATAAATACACCTGTTAAGTAAAAATTGTGTGAGTTAAAGAATACTGAACATAAACTTACCTGTAAACATTCTCCTCTGTTCCATGGTTGTGTTTGAGGGGAAAGAAAAGAAATGATACTGCAGTATATGGAGTTGACACTGGAATTTATCTAGGATACCACACTAAGTGCCCTTGGCAGGCAAACTGAGAAAAAATACATGATGTTTTTCAAAAGTGTTGGTTTTTTTAAAGTTCATATTTTTTAACATTGATAGCTTTAATAAGAGTTAAAGGGAATTACCAAGATCTGGTCTTGTAACATAAGTGCCAGAGAGCAAAGGAAAGGATGGAATATATCATCAGTCTTGACATGACCAAACATTGTAAAACCTAGGGCTGCAACGAATACACTATGAGGCGAATACGATTCGTATCATGAATATAGGTTAACGAATACGAATATTAGTTCACGAATACAATAACAAGTCAGCAGTTGATGTATCATTTGTCATGTTCAGAGAGGCAACAACAACATGAATTATTTGACATGGTTTGTTAATTTTTAATATATTATTAATATATTATTCATATATTATTCATTTATATGCTGCACTTATCCAGGTACTAGTATCTGCACTAGTTGTCTTTTGAAGAAATCTATGCATAAAATATGTTCTTATGGGTATTTTTTTATGTAAATGCATATGCTTGCATATTCATAAATATTCTATTCTAGTGGCCACGAATAACGAATTCAATTCATGAATGGATACGGTTCGATTCACTGAATACGTGAGTGAATCATAACAGCCCTACTGCAGGCCTCAAAATGTAAATTTTTACCAAGTAGCCATATGGCTACAAGTATTTTTTTCCAGGTAGCCAGTGGTAAAATCAAGAAGTCAAGCCAATATTGTAGGTAGCCAAAAGCATTTGAAATTATCTACTATCAAATAACTATTATAATATGTACAAGTCATAGCACTAGTCTTGGAATTGTATATTAGTGGAAAGTGTACTTGATTTTGTTATTTGTGACTTGAACAATGATGCAGTTTATGTTACTCGATTATATAGGTATATCCTTGCTTATCCAATGAGCATTGTCAACTTAATTAAAGTACTAATTATATTAATACTTATGTATTTTGGTTCATTGTCGACTTTAGGAGGAATTATTTGCGAGTACAATTATAGGCAGACATGTTTTACAAGATCAGCTGTTATTTATTTTTGTGTGTAGCAACAGAATTAAGTCGCCACAATATATTTTTCAAGGTAGTCATTTGGCTACCTCTGAATTTTAGACAGTAGACAAACTGAAATTTAGGTCGCATTGGGGACCGTTTTAGTCGTAACTTTGAGGCCTGTACAACTTGATTGGAATGATCTGATTTGGTGTATTCTATCGCCTACCAGTCCAATCTCATTAAAATCAGATCTTAGTTCTCGCTACCGCTAAACAAAGATCTGAGGACATCCCATTAGGGGTCATGTCAGAACAACCTTTCATCCGACCAATCAGAGCGTCGCTTACCAGATCATGAAAGTGACAGTCGGAATGTGATTTCTCCTCATGCAGCCTCGAAAACTTTAAAACGGGGTATTCCGAACGATAGTTACGAACTTAACCACTGAATCTATACAATCTAGACCATATATTAGCCATCCCAGGATGTTCTTTTGTTCAGGTTTCAAATTTTTAAGCAAGAATTTGTCCAAATATGTTTCGAAGCGTAGTCGCCAATTTGAAATTAGTGCCGTAAAGAACGAGAAAGCTGCCTTCTGATTGGCTAATGTCGACTTCTTGTCAGTAACTCCATTGGTCGGTCAGAGTTCGTGAAAGGTTGGTCTGACGTGACCCGTAATGGGATGTCCTCAGATCTTTGTTTGGCGGCAGCGAAAACTAAGATCTGATTTTAATGAGATTGCCTACCAGTCTGACATCGTATACTCAACACCTACAGTAACAAATCCCCATGAAAATAATGAAAGCATACCTAAACTGAGAGAAGTGTTCCACCCTGTAGAACCCCAGACTTTCGCTTGCTTGGCAAAGATGCACTCAGTGTGTTGCTTGATTGGGTTAAAGTTGAGCACACTATCTGCATTCTCAGCATCATATGTCACAAAACAGCATACTGCGTGTTCGACCTCCCTCTTCTTCTTCTCCGACAACACGGGACATCTAGGCTTGCCCTTGAGAGGGTTGTCCCTCAAATTGATCCCTTGGACAGTAAATTCTATAACTGGCCGAATGAGGAATGATGCTGTGGAAAAGAAAGAGGAGATGTGTTATTTTTCTGACAACAGGGAAGATAAACATGACCTATCAGGTCTAGCTTTTAGGTCCTCATTTCAGTTTGTTTGTTTGTTGGTTGGTTGTTTAACGCCGCACTCAGCAATATTCCAGCTATATGACGGCGGTCTATAAATAATCGAGTCTGGATCAGACAATCCAGTGATTTACATACTGAACATCGATCCACGCAATTGGAATCGATGACATGTATCAACCAAGTCAGCGAGCCTGACCACCCGATCCCGTTAGTCGCCTTTTACGACAAGCATAGTCACCTTTTATGGTCCTCATTTAAAAAATGATCTTAGTGCTAAGATTGTTGCATGTCAATTTAATTAATGCTTAGACCACTTTCAGTGCACCAGGGTCCTGATACTCAGTTCATAAAATAAACTTAGTGCTGTGACTGCTGTAGGTTGGTTGGTTGGTTTGTTGTTTAACACCGCACTCAGCAATATTCCAGCTATATGACGGCGGTCTGTAAATAATCGAGTCTGACCAGACAATCCAGTGATTGATATCATGAGCATAGATCCACGCAATTGGGACACGATGACATGCATCAACCAAGTCAGCGAGTCTGACCACCTGATCCCGTTAGTCGCCTCTTACGACAAGCATAGACTGTTGTAGGGTCCTTATTAATACTACATGCATTATTGATCTGTATTTTACATTTAAATGGTCAATCTACTCTCAAGTTTTATCTGTAAATAAGTAAAAAAAGTCTTGTGCTTGGGAAGTCAAGAGCGGAGAGCTGCGATGAGGTCCTACAGTCAAGCATCTTCCCGAGGCAAGGGAGTTAACCGACTATAACAGTCCAGTTTCGACCCTTGCCCAACTAGGCTGCAATTATGGTGTTGTATTTTGCCTGAACTAACGAGTCTGTGCATAATTTAGTCCAATCAAAATCGTGTAACGAAATCGATATCCAGTTTGTAAACTACATGGATTACATTGTACAGATCTCGGTGGACTGCAGGATTTGCAAAACATGTGTACCGTCAACTGGGCTTCAACAGATATTTTCCAAATCTTTTCATGTTTTTTATCAATGTGCTCACGTAATTTGATGCACTTTGCGAAGTAAGACCCGTTTTATTACAATCTATATCTTCATCATCAATCAGATTGTCTTGACTCAGCGCTGCCATTTTGTTTGAAGCAAATGCAAGTGACATGAGAGGTGGAATCTGATTGGTCAACAGGAGGGGAAGAGAGGGGACAAAACTCATAATAGCCACTGGCTGCGCTACGATTGAGCCCAGAAATTCCAGCCCATTTCGGGAAGGGTGAAACTGGACTTTTAGAGTCAGTTAACTCCCTTGCCTCAGGAAGATGACAATCAAGATGTAGGGTCATGTCTTGACTGTAGGACCCCATCACAGCTGTTGGCTAACACGGGGGTGGGGGGTGGGGGGGTGTTATGACAGTAGTAGTACAGACATTCTTTTGATGAATAGGGTCTTTTTGTCATAGGGTTGTGATTATAAACTGATTGCATCCAGGAAAGTAGAGAAAAAGGCAATTTCTCATATAAAAGTAATTTCACATATTATAAAATGGTCGGAATTAAAACAACTGTGTCCTGTCAATCACATGACATCACAGATATTTGATAAAACAAGAAAACATGCTCACCCATTTGGTAAGAAAATTAAATAATGTACCAGAGAATGTAGATATAATTAATGCATACATAAATATCAAATGGACTTATTTGTATGTTCAGCTAACAGGCCCGGAGGCAGGATCCCCATCTTCCCAAGGCAAGAGAGTTAACTGACTATAAAAGTCCAGTTTCCACCCTTGCCGAACTAGGCTGGTATTATGGAGTTACATTTTGGCTGGACTAATGAGTTTATGCATAGTCCAATCAAAATCGCGCACCGAAATCGAAATCTGGTTCGTAAACTGTCGTGCAGATTTCGATCCATTGCAGTATTTGCAAAGCATGTGCAACGCCAACTCGTTGTCAGCAGATATTATTCCAAATCTTTTCAGGTTTTTAATCAAGGTGCTCACGTAATCTGATGCATTACACGATGTAAGATCCATTTTATCACAATATAGATCTTGATTATCAATCAGATCGTCCTGACTGGGCGCCGCCATTTTGTTTGAAGCAAACGCAAGTGATACGAGAGGTGGAATCTGGTTGGTCCATAGAAGAGGCTTAGAAGGGACATCACTGGTAATAGCCACTGGTGGCGCTACAATCGAGCCCAGTAATTCCAGCCAGATTCGGCAAGGGTGGAAACTGGACTTTTAAAGTCGGTTAACTCTCTTGCCTCGGGAAGATGGGGATCCCAGGCAGCATTACACAATTGGGCCAATGCCGCACTAAACCCAATGTTGGCAAGTTTAAAATGACTTTTCCTGTCAGTTCAAACTATGGTCAGTAGTTCACAGTCATGCATGCGGCTGTGAAGAATTTATGATGATTTCACAGAAACTCATTAGCAGTGTCACCTCAGTGTTTAAAATTGAATTACAAATTTGATCATGCTGGTGCGAATGAATGGAGATTTAAGAGAAGATGACAACTGAATTTGTTACATATTTTGCTATATAGGAATTATCAATAATTATTTATCATTTTGTTTATCAGGGACTTTAAATCTAGATTGTCAGTTTTTTTAATTTTGTTTGATGAAACCAAAATCTGAATCAAAGGTCAAACAGATGTTCAGCGGGTCAGTAAAAACAAAAGCTATGAACTAAAGAAATTCTTGGTCAGTCTACCACAAAACAGTGAACAATGCAAATCCAATTCATCAAGTCCTGCATAGTCATAAAAATGTAACAAACAACCGGGTGATCCATCTCCTTGTTTATTTACATGTAAATAGCTAATATTTGAATAAATATGCTAATATTTGAATAAATATGCCTCACAGAACATTAATGATGTGAATATGAACACAGTTATGAAATAAATGTCTCTACTTTAAAGGTTTCCAAGTTGCTTATATATTATTGGCTAGTGAACAATCCCAATTAGCACCCCTTCCGATTGATCAATGTTCAAAAGACTTATTTATTCGCGTAAAATACGCACTCGTGTGTTATATGCACCCTTAATTATGGGCGATTAAATTCAAGAAAAATATATCTGTTGTACATAAACATTTTAGGCTGTCAGCATAAACCACAAAATTTATCTTTCAACTCTGTTTTTTTTCACCAAAATAATATTCTAATAAGAGCCCCCTATTTCTAATTTTGAGAGGGCCCTGGGCGCTTATTACAGGGAATATGGTATGTGATTTATGGAAATAATTACCAGAGGTATACATTCCTTATTTTGGTACTTTATATCTATATTTTTTTTTTCATCCTATAAAAGATGGTATTTAATATCAACTTTGAGTGTTCAGGGCAGATTACTGATAAGAGCGTGGCACTGTATGGGGCTACTGTCGCCTGGCGAGGGTGTGAGTAGAACACAATCTCATTAAAATCAGACCTCAGTTCTCGCTACCGCTAAACAAAGATCTGAGGACATCCCATTAGGGGTCACGTCAGAACGACCTTTCATCCGACCAATCAGAGCATCGCTTACCAGATTATGAAAGTGACAGTCGGAATGTGATTTTTAATCATGCAACCTCAAAGACTTTAACATGTGGTATTCTGAACGATAGTTATGGGTTTAACGACTGAATCCATAGAATCTAGACTATCTATTAGCCATTCCAGAATGTTCTTTTGTTCAGGTTTCAAATTTAGAATCGAGAATTTGTCAAATTATGTTTCAAAGCGTAGTCGCTAATTTGAAATTAGTGCCGTAAAGCACGAGAAAGCTGCCTTCTGATTGGTAATTCTATTGGTCGGTCAAAGTAAGCGCAAGGTCGGTCTGACGTGACCCGTAATGGGATTTTAATGAGATTGAGTGGAACCCAGCCGAGTTGTTATCTAGCATTGGCTGGAACACGTTGGCCCGCTGATGGGTCAGTTCTGAGAGAGCGATGCCGGCACTGGCCATACTGGCAACGCTCAGCCAGCATTGGCCCAATTGTGTAATGCTGCCTGGGATAGTGATATTACAGAAACACAGGACCCATATTTAAATATGATATGGTTGAGTATATGAGGGAGTATGGTTTTATGCCGCTTTTAGCAATATTCCAGCACTATCACGGCGGGGGACACCAGAAATGGCCTTCACACATTGTACCCACCTGCTTCAGGATAACTACATACAATGTAAGGAAAATGTAATTAAAAAGTTTAAGGGGCGCTTGACCCATGTCTACTGACAGTCGTAGAAATTGAAGTCGTGTAAAACCCACTTTCGTAGTCTTCTAAATCAATTTTTATACATTATGTAGATCAATCTAACTCAAATAAATTCATTAATAGATATAATAAATAGTTAAATACAAATTCTGAAACACATAATACATACACTTAGATGTGATAAACGAATAAACAATACATGAGTAAACATTACAGAAATTAAAACTTGATTAAATTGAATACTGAGAAATCTAATTTAGTTGATCAACACTCACCAAGAAAGGAAAATAATGAATGAAAGTACGATGTAATAATGCTGAAGAAAGGTCTGTCTTTCTTATCTTTTCCGTTCATTCTTCTGTTGAAAACGCACCCGATAACAGTCGCAAGTTTGTCAGTTATGACATCAATATACATCGCGAGTACGTATATTATTAAGCCACGCCCATATTACAGCAGGAAGTTCCATGCTGTCCAGTGTGACGATGTGAACATGTGCTTTCTGTCTCCGTGCCTTCTCACGTCACATATCCCTTTTAAGGTTTAGAAAATATATTAAAATTCAAGCTGTATACGTGTTCTTGTAATTCATAACAGTGGGGATGTCGGCAATTTGCCATTAACCAAATTACAAAAACGACTTCGTAAATTTTTCGACCCCGGTTTCACGGTTTCACGTCCGCGTATCGAAAGTAGGTTTTTCAAAACATAGAAGTCGTGATTTACATTCACATTTTTAAGGATGAAGATTTTTACACTCGGAACAATTGTTATATGTACTTATGAGGTTTCTGAGACCCACGTGTGTCTTGCGCGTACGAATCTGACAAACACGGCGTTATTAAGATTCAACGACAACCGGAAAGAAGCATGAGCGAAATGGCGGGAAAACGCATTCTGTACAAGTTGAGATTTGTAGAAGACTAAATGCTCGTATTATCAAACTTGTAGGAGGGTATATCAATACAGGTGAGATTAAACTCACATGACAAATATATGAAATAACGTTGAAACTCGAAATATACAGAAATAAGCTCAATGAATAAAATGCTGGTACTTGTGACGTCATTTTACAAATATATGACGTCATGTCAGTATCATAGCAACGCTCGCAGACAAAATGGCGTTCAAGTAGTGAAGATGAACGTTATATTGCAGAAATGGTCTTCTGCTGCCCATGACAGAATAGATAGAATACCAAGATGAGATTTTCTATTCTTCCACGACATGACACTTTGTTAATAGTCTTTATTATCAGTTTAGTTGCCGTTCCATCGTTTATAAGCTCAGGAATTCCTAAAAAAGGTCCTGAAAGAGAACTCAAAGAATCAAAACGTAAGTCTTTCGATGTTACGAAGAGTATGCCAAGCTTGAAAAACTAAAGTTTGAAACCTACCTACAGCTATACGATTTGTCGTTAGTCATATAAGTAATCAGGGTCCGACTGTTATTGGTAGCCCTGTGGTGACGGGTGAATGTAATGGCGTAACCCAAACGAGTTCGTACCCAGTTCGTGAGCCTGGTAATTTCATGACCTTAAAATATGAAACTTCGTAACTCTATTCATATTTCTGACAATTCGTTTATAGGCCCCTGTTGTATTGTAAAAATGTATGACATCCAGCACTTGAAACAGAATGAACATTTGGGCTATGCTCTTTCAACTAATCCTAACTCAAACAACTTTGTCACCCTCAAAAACTATGAAAAAATATTGACCAACACAAATTATGTTAATTTTATAGTTTGATTACCCAAGCTAGTTGATAAGCAAAACAACTGTAAAGTTCAAAATAGAATATGTGCCAAAAAAATTCTTTGCGATATTTGTCTATTCACTGTTAGGGACCATTTGAAACTCTAGGGGGAGGTGTTTGTTTGTTTGTTGGTTAAGGATAAACATTTTTTCAGCTTCAGCTGCAAAACCAGACAATTTTTATTTAAAATTATGAGTCTAATTTTCTAATATTCCTAACACCGTGCAACAATGTTATTTTTGTGGACAGCAATTTGGTGGGTTTTTTAAAGGTCTGAAGCAAAATTATTTTTTTCAAGAATTTTCTGGGACAATTTATTTTTTTAGATAAAATCTTCAGAGATTGAATTCAGGGATAGACACGGACACTAATCCATTAATCCCAGACAAGTGAAAATTTAGATGGACCAGTTGTTTTCTCCCCAAATCTAGTTATTTCACATAATGTCTTGTCTTCAGTGTGCTGTGTAGCAGATGGATATGGCCACTGGTGTCCATCACTGGAATCACTTCCTGATAAAAGCCTAGCCTAAAACTTTGGCTATATGAATCATAGGCAAATTAATAATATTATACTAATGCCATCTGTTTCTGAGGCCATATTTGCTATGCTGAGCATCATTTTCACATAGAGTTAATTCTCGCAAAGTAGAAACTGTTTAAGTGCAAAAACCTCTCATGTATAGATAATTTCCTTTGGTCCTGGCATGCTCACTATATAATTGTCATTATTTTCTGTCTTATGTCCTCAGAGACATGTTACATTTGTTTGTTTGTTTGTTTGTTTGTTTGTTTAACACCACACTCAGCAATATTCCGGCTATATGACGGTGGTCTGTAAAATAATCGAGTCTGGACCAGACAATCCAGTGATTGACATCATGAGCATCAATCCACGCAATTGAGATCGATGCCATGCATCAACCAAGTCAGCGAGTCTGACCACCCAATCCCGTTAGTCACCTCTTACGACAAGCATAGTCACCTTTTACAGCAAGCATGGGTTGCTGAAGCCCTATTCTACCCCGGATCTTCATGGGTCACATGTTACGTAGTAATTCTTACTTCAGTAGAAGAGCAGTTAGTGAGGCTGTCATCTTCCCAGGGCAAGGGCATTAACTCTTGCTGTACTAGAATTTCTGGTCTCAATGGTAGCGCCACCAGTTGCTGTTACGAGTTATGTCCTTTGTCCCTCCTAATGACCAATCAGATTCCACCTCTCATATCACTAGTATTTGCTTAAAAACAAAAAGGGTTGCGCGGCAACTTGCGCCCAGCCAGGAGGATCTTATAGATAAAAATATTTTTATTGAGTCATGTCCTATGTCCCTCCTAATGACCAATCAGATTCCACCTCTCATATCACTTGCATTTGCTTAGAACAAAAAGGGTTGCGCCCAGCCATAAGGATCTTATAGATTAAAAATGTCTTTATTGTAAAAAACTGGGTCTAACCAAGGTGCATCAAGTCACATGAGCATCTTGATTAAAATTATGAAAATATTTGGAAAATATGTGTCGATGCATTTTGACGATACACATGCTCGGCAAATGCTGTAATCGACCAATATCTGCACGTCAGTCGCCATGTTGTTCATGAACCAGACTCATAGACTCATTTGTCCAGTCAAAATGTAACTTCATAATTCCAGCCTAGTTCATTTTCCCGAGGAACAGAGTTGACTGACTTTAAAAGTCCAGTAATTCCACCCTTGCCGAACAAGGCTGGAATTACTGGACTCGATCATAGCGCCACCAGAGGCTATTACCAGTTATGTCCCTTCTCGTCTATGGACCAATCAGATTTCACCCTTCATATCACTTGCGTTTGCTTCACACAAAATGATGGCGCCCAGTCAGGACGATCTGATCGATAAACAAGATCTATTCTGTAATAAAACGGGTCCTACATCGCGAAATGCATCAAATCACGTGAGCACCTTGATTAAAAACGTGAAAAGATTTGGAAAATATCTGCTGACAACAATTGGCAGTGCACATGCTTTACAAATCCTGCAATCGATCGAAATCTGTACGACAGTTTACAAACCAGATTTCGGTTTCGCGATTTTGATTGGACTATGCATAGACTCGTAGTCCAGCCAAATTGTAACTCAATAATACCAGCCTAGTTCGGCAAGGTTTGAAACTGGACTTTTATAGCCAGTTAACTCTCTTGCCTTGGGAAGATGGCCTAGTTTGGAAAGGGACTTTTATAGTCAGTCCACTCCCTTGCCTTGGGAAGATGTGTGTTTGTAAACACACTATACTAACTTAACAGTCACTATTCATTTGAGTAATAACCAGACAATTGTAAGTGCCTGTCCCACACTATATTAATCCTTAATCCACAATAAGATGAAATTGAGTTAATCTTGCTATTAAACTGTTGTTAGCATGAGGAGATGATAAGCATCAAAGGTGTATTCTGGAGAAAGGTAAAATTTACTTGATGTCTATTTAGGATTAGATTGAAGTAAAACTTGTAAACCTCATGATTATTATTTTAGTTATTATTTCTGTCTCTATTTGTTTCTTTGTTGTTTTACGCCATACTCCACAATATTCCAGCTATATGACAGCAGTCTGTAAATAATCAGGTCTGGACCAGACAAACAAGTGATTGACATGAGCATCTGTCTTCGCTTTTGGGATACGATGACATGCATCACACCGAGTCAGCGAGCCTGACCTACCGATCCCGTTAGTCGCCTTTTAGAACAAGCAAAGTCGCCTCTTGCAACAAGCATGGGTTGCTGAAGACCTATACTCCACCCATATATGTGGGTAACAATTTATTACGATCAATTATATGTTTGTATTGTATTGGCCATAAAACCTACTCTATATCCAGCGTTAGAAATTGGCACTGGTCCTATAGTCCTTGCCAAACTGCCCAGTGGTAAAGGTATCATTAGGACCAGTAGAAATTTGCCCTTTTTAAGGGTTTTGCTATATGTTATCATTATAAGGACTAGTGGACAAAAACTGTTAGTTTCTAACCCTGGTATCCATTTTAATTTTATGATCCAGCTAATGATATCATGTTACAGATTCCAGAGATAAAAATGTGACAGACAGCATTGCTGATGTAGGATCTGACAAGGAATTCGTGAAGGAGGACAATGAACTTGATGACAACCAAAGACAGCATGTGATGAGAGACAATGACTATGAATCTGAAGAAGGACCTGTCCAAGCATTCAACAAAAGAAAACATGGCCAAAGCGAAGAACAGGACAACCAAGGACCTATGTATGATGCAGAATATGATTCCAACACCCGAAGACCTCAGGATGAAATACATGAAGCCCAAAGCTATGACAGTGGCATCCATGATAAAGGTAAGGAAACAGATCCTGTCCAAGGCCCCCATGCACAAAGCGATCTTAGCGCTAGGATGATCGTAACTCCCATTCTTTAACATAGGCTTACAATAGTTGTAGCGCAAAGATCGCTTTGTGCAAGTGGGCCCATGTATTCTTGAAGTGCAAAAATCATCACCTAAAAAATGGCATGGATGAAAACTTGGACAAAACAAATCCTGTCCATTGTTGTATTTAAAACTATGAGCCTATTTTTTGTGTATGACAAAAACACCTTGCAACTTTCTTTTTTTTTATTGTCAGCAATTTCTTCTGTTTTCAAAGACCTGAAGCAAAATTATTATTTTTTAAGAATTTTCAGGTACAATTTAGTTTTTTAGATAAAATCTACAGAGATGGAATCCAGGGATAGACATTGACACTAATCCCGGTTCTGTTAATCCCAGACTAGTGACAATATGGAAGGACTAGTTGCTTTCTCCCAAAATCTTGTTATTTCACATAGCCACAAGTCTGAAATGAGCTGCATGACAGATGGATATGACCAATGGTGTCTTCCCCTGTGAGTCTCTTGCTGATAAAAGCCCACACCCAAACTTTGTGTACTTGTGAAAGATGTTATTAGGTCATTCTGAAGCTTTATTACTCTATAACACAGTTACCATATCAGAATCATGCAGAGGGCCAGATACTGGCACAGGTTCATATACGATCAGACAATTATATGCCCATTTCATATTTATAGTGTATTGGACATAAGATCTATTGTGCATCCATTTTACCTTCATTTTATGATATCAATGTTACAGATTCCAGAGATAAAAGTGTGACAGACAGCATTGGTGATGTAGGATCTGACAAGGAATTCGTGAAGGAGGACAATGAACTTGATGACAACCAAAGACAGCATGTGATGAGAGACAATGACTATGAATCTGAAGAAGGACCTATGTATGATGCAGAATATGATTCCAACACCCGAAGACCTCAGGATGAAATACATGAAGCCCAAAGCTATGACAGTGGCATCCATGATAAAGGTAAGGAAACAGATCCTGTCCAAGGCCCCCATGCACAAAGCGATCTTAGCGCTAGGATGATCGTAACTCCCATTCTTTAACATAGGCTTACAATAGTTGTAGCGCAAAGATCGCTTTGTGCAAGTGGGCCCATGTATTCTTGAAGTGCAAAAAGCATCACCTAAAAAATGGCATGGATGAAAACTTGGACCAAACAAATCCTGTCCATTGTTTTATTTAAAACTATGAGCCTATTTTTTGTGTATGACAAAAACATCTTGCACCTTTTTTTTTTTTGATTGTCAGCAATTTCTTCTGTTTTCAAAGACCTGAAGCAAAATTATTATTTTTTAAGAATTTTCAGGGACAATTTAGTTTTTTAGATAAAATCTACAGAGGTGGAATCCAGGGATAGACATTGACACTAATCCTGGTTCTGTTAATCCCAGACTAGTGACAATATGGAAGGACCAGTTGCTTCCTCCCAAAATCTTGTTATTTCACATAGCCACAAGTCTGAAATGAGCTGCATGACAGATGGATATGACCAATGGTGTCTTCCCCTGTGAGTCTCTTGCTGATAAAAGCCCACACCCAAACTTTGTGTACTTGTGAAAGATGTTATTAGGTCATTCTGAAGCTTTATTACTCTATAACACAGTTACCATATCAGAATCATGCAGAGGGCCAGATGCTGGCACAGGTTCATATACGATCAGACAATTATATTCCAATTTCATATTTATAGTGTATTGGACATAAGATCTATTGTGCATCCATTTTACCTTCATTTTATGATATCAATGTTACAGATTCCAGAGATAAAAGTGTGACAGACAGCATTGGTGATGTAGGATCTGACCAGGAATTCGTAAAGGAGGACAATGAACTTGATGACAACCAAAGACAGCATGTGATGAGAGACAATGACTATGAATCTGAAGAAGGACCTGTCCAAGTATTCTTAACAAACAAAAGAAAACATGGCCAAAGCGAAGAACAGGACAACCAAGGACCTATGTATGATGCAGAATATTATTCCAACACCCGAAGACCTGAGGATGAAATACATGAAGCCCAAAGCTATGACAGTGGCATTGAAGAATCTGATGATGAAATTTGGAAGGACAAGGAACATTTTGGTCAAGGTTCTCAGAGCCAATTGAAAAAGAAAAAAGATCGGCATGACAATAAGTCAAAAACAGCTGAAGTTGATGGAGCAAAAGGAATGCACTCATCCGAGTCATTTCTTATTCCTCAAGATACAGTAAAAGATGAGGATATTCAACACATATCCACTGAAGTGAAACACTTGGACGCTGCTGTCAAAAGGATATCAAGCTTTGTAAGAAAGACGCTTGGTAACATTAAGAAGAACATGCATGAAATGGCAAAAATGGTATCCCGGGTGCATCCTATTGCTCCTTCTACAATGAGTCACATGATACAAGTTACAATGACGAAGACGGAGAAAGCTGTACGGAAACTGTGCCTGGAACCCATACAGAAGAGTCTCAGCATTCCGCCCTGGTCGGCGTGGAGCTCCTGGGGGACCTGCTCCCTGACTTGTGGGAGTGGAGGCTACAAGCTGCGACATCGTCAGTGCCAGTCAACATCTCATCACCAGTGTCTTGGCAACAACTTTGACCTCTCTCATTGTGTGCTTCAAAACTGTCCAGGTATGAATCAGAATTAGCAGGGTTAGAACTAAACTCAAAAGCTTTACTAGCCTGGGTGAAGATCAGATGCCTGTGTAATGTTAAAACAATGGAGAAATTTGTACTAGCCCACGGGAATTTGTACTTGCCCAGGACTAGCGGGCTGGTGTTAAGTTATAACCCTGTAATTTAGTTAAATGCAGTGTTATCAGTGTCATGACTGCCTGCCCACCTGCCCCTGGCTGGTAATTTTTCTGTCGGGCTGCATGAAATTTTCCGTCACCTACCTGACTGTCTTGCAGATAATATTTAGCTGACTGACGTATTTAGTTTTATCATAATTCCTAGTAGAATCTTAAGTAATTGTTTGTATTATTTGAACTTAATCAAGAGCTGTTTGTCTCTTTTTTTTAAGCCATTTTTCAATATTGATAATATTTTAATGTGGGCAAGTAACTTTGAAAATGGACAGGTCACCTGCCCAACTGTCTTGTTGGGTTTCAATATTTTTTCCAGCACTGAGTACAGGGTTAGAAATTGGCAGTAGTCCTATAGTCCTTGCCAAACTACCCAATAGTAAAGGTATCCTAAGGACTAGTAAAAATTTGTTTTGTTTTTTAAAGGTTTTGCTATTTGTTATCATTATAAGGACTAGTGGACTGAAATTGTTAGTTTCTACCGCTGGAGTATTGTAACTAGTTCAGACTCTGTTACAGGCTAGTCTCGGCTAAGGTGTGTCAATAAGGGCCTTTAATAAGAGCCAGATCAGCTACAGCTAATGATTTCTCCCAATTACATTGAATACATCAAAGTCTTATCAAACTAAGGTGTTCCTGTCACTTCAGGCATACAGTCAGCAACTTCAGCCATTAGTCCAATGCCCGAGTCAAGTTAAATTCTTTTCGGTCTCAATCTGGTGGGTTCAATTAGTAATAGTCCAGGACCCGTGAAGATCCGGGGTAGAATAGGTCTTCAGCAACCCATGCTTGCCGTAAAAGACAACTATGCTTGTCGTAAAAGGCGACTAACGGGATCGGGTGGTCAGGCTCGCTGACTTGGTTGATGCATGTCATCGATCCCAATTGCGTGGATCGATGCTCATGATGTCAATGACTGAGTGCGGCGTTAAACAACAAACAAACAAACAAACAAAGTAATAGTCCAGTGATAACATGGGTATTGGATAGCCAATAGCAGACCTCGGGGTTCTGCAAATGATAGTGGCCTGAAAAACAGCATTACCCTCATATAGGGCTTAATTTAAGCAACTTTATTTAACTTGCAAGGCGTTAGAAATTGGCACCAGTCCTGTAGTCCATGCCACTCTGTCCAATAGTTAAGGTTTCATTAAGGACCAGTGGAAATTTGCCTTTTTTTAAGGATTTTGCTATAAGTTATCATTACAAGGACTAAAGACCCGTGAAGATCCGGGGTAGAATAGATCTTCAGCAACCCATGCTTGCCTTAAAAGGCGACTATGCTTTTTGTAAGAGTCGACAAACGTAGTCAGGTGCTCAGGTGGGCCTTTTTTCAAATTTAGGGGCTGAAAGCACAAGGCCCCACCCTAGAATTATCCCTGATTGGATAATGTAAATATTGTAACATGATACAGTGGTCAACATCAGTGAAAGATGAAGGGACAGTACATATTCTTAAAGAATCCACAGTTTTTTTTACATCAAGCCCAAGAAAGCATGACATATTACACATAACACAGGGATTAGTGATGTAATAAGGGTAAACTAAAGTTAGAGGTATCGAATGTCTTCAAAGATTGATGTTGTGCAGACAAATAGCGGTTAGTCAAGACACAAATTTGAATGTTTTTTACATGCTTGTTTTGTTTGTTTGTTGTTTAACGACGCACTCAGCAATATTCCAGCTATATGACAGCGTTTTTTACATGCACTAAGACATAAACATAAGGTTGCATTTTTCATGAATAGGTTGCACTTGTGTATGTAATATATATATATAATTATAGCGAAATCGAGCTCTGCTTACAGTAAAGACTTTTTTATTTTTGCACGTGTGACAAAAACTTTTGAGTCTTCTTGCCCAAAGTGGCTATTAACATCATTTTCAGTAGATTTTAGTTTTGTTATAATGGACAATTATTAGCTGAACTTCCGTGACCAAAGAATAATTTCTGTTCTCAACAATAGAGTGCATGTTGTTTTATGCCACAAACAGAAGTATTCGAGCTATTTTAGCTTCGTGTAAACAATCCATTGTGCAGGGTTAGAAATTAATTTTCGACCATATTCGACGTAATAAGTGCCCCGCTCTAATAAGCGACCACAGCGAAATTTGCTAATATATTGGCAAGTGAACAATCCCAATTAGCACCCCTTCCGATTGATCAATGTACACAAGACACAAATTTATTTGGGTATAATACACACTTATGTGTTATATGCACCCTTAATTATGGGCTATTAAATTCTGGAAAAATATTTCTGTTGTATACAAACATTTCAGGCTGTCAGTATAAACCACGAAATTAACAATCTTCCCACTCTGTTGTTTTTTTTCCACCAAAATAATATTCAAATAACAGCCCCCTATTTCAATTTTTGAGAGGGCCCTGGGCGCTTATTATGTAGAATAGGGTATTTCTTTTTCTCTTATTGTTGAAGGCTTTGATAGACATTTATTTGTTACTGTTCTTTCAGCAACGTGGCTCTCATGGGACCAGTGGACTTCCTGCTCAGCTACATGTGGTAATAATGGCCACCAAATGAGAAGCAGAATGTGTCTGACTTCATCTGAGAAAGTTCATTGTGAAGGATCCATATCCGAAATGAAAGTTTGTTTTTCACACAGCTGCAAGGACTTACACAACAATGCAATCAACGGACATATTCACATCGAGTCCAAGTTGGGCAACAAGGACCATTTTCATATGAATCTGCATACACATGAGCCATCCAAATCCACTAACACATCATCAGGTCATGTGTGGTCGACCTGGAGTGGCTGGACAACGTGCGAACAGTGTTGGAAGGGTAACAGGAAACGGATGAGAATGTGTGTGAATTCGCGGAAGCAACCGGACAACAAAAACCTGTGTCCTGGAGCTGATGCAGAATTTGGGCCATGTGTTGGTCCAGCATGCAACCATGGTATGTTGTCAGCATGATAGGCAGAGCTTTGCAATAAATACTGTCCATGAGAATCCAATCTCATTATATCTACCGCTACACAAAGATCTGAGGACATCACATTATGGGTCACGTCAGACTGACCTTTTTGGCGCGAACTTTGACCGACCAATGGAATGACCAATCAGAAGGCAGCTTTCTCGTGCTTTAAGGCACAAATTTCAAATTGGCAACTTCGCTTCGAAACATATTTTGACAAATTCTCGATAACAAATTTGAAACCTGAACAATAAAACGTTCTGGAATGGCTAAAAGAAGTTCTAGATTGTAAGGATTCAGTTGTTAAACCCCTAACTACCGTTCGGAATACACCATGTTAAAGTTTTCGAGATTGCATGATTAGAAATCACATACCGACTATCACTTTCATTATCTGGTAAGCGACGCACAGATTGGTCGGATGAAAGGTCGTTCTGACGTGACCCCTAATGGGATGTCTTCAGATCTTTGTTTCGCGGTAGTGAGAACTGAGGTCTGATTTTAATGAGATTGATGAGAATCTTAGGACCCCTCTTCCTTCACCCAAGGGGTGGTCGGGTAGCCTTGTGGTTAAAGCGTTCACTTGTCACGCCTTAAACACAGGTTCGATTCCCAACATGGGTACAATGTGTGAAGCCCGTTTCTGTTGATATTGTTGGAATATTGCTAAAAGCGGCATAAAACTGTACTCACTCACTCCCTTCCCCTCAAATCTTTACTTTATGAAACCCTTCTATCCTGTGTGTAGTGTGACCACCCTTGAAACCCCCCTAATTCTAGGTACGAAAAACTCGTCTTATTCACAGTGATATACGGTATTGTGTTGTGGTGGGATGATACTCTGATGCATCGGTTGATCGTGATTTTTTACTTCTTGATACATGTATCGATCACAGTCACACACGTAAGTAAAACTATCGATTCTGGCCTTAAATGTTCGATTTAATAACTGTTCCACTAAACACTAATTAGTAGAGCAAGTTATAGTGAAAACATCAATATTTTCCTTTGTTGTGACATAATTGACACTGCCAACTGCAAATCATCAGTGTGCCAGGTATTTGGCCATCCTGTCTATGAATAAGATGGCTTACAAACTAGGGCTGTTACGATTCACTCGCGTATTTGGTGAATCGAACCGTATCCATTCATGAATCGAATTCGTTATTCGTGGCCACTAGAATCGAATATTTATGAATATGCAATCACGTGCATTTACATACCCTGTACCTAAAACATCCATAAGAACATATGATATGCATAGATTTCTTTAAAGACAACACTTTAATATTTTATTTGACAGGAATTTGGTCACTGGTCATTGTAGCATTTAAGCAGATACTGGTACTTGGACAAGTGCAGTATGTGAATGTATAATATAGATAATTAACAAACCATGTCAATAATTTATGTTGGTAATGTTTCACTGAATATAACAAATAATACATCAACTAACTTATTATTGTATTCGTGAATTAATATTCGTATTCATTACCCTATATTCGTGATACGAATCGAATTCGCCTCATAGGTTATTCGTTGCAGCCCTATTACACACCACAAATAATCGGATCATGAGTAAAATATCGTGATACGTATTTGACAGCGTTAGAAATTGGCACTAGTCCTGCAGTCCTTGCCAAACTGCCCAGTAGTTAGGTATCATAATGACTTGTAGAAATTTGCCCTTTTTAAGGGGTTTGCAATATGTTATCATTAAAAGGACTAGAGACCCGTGAAGATCCGGGGTAGAATAGGTCTTCAGCAACCCATGCTTGCCTTCAAAAGCGACTATGCTTGTCGTAAAAGGCAACTAACGGGATTGGGTTAGTTTCTAATGCTGTTTTTACATTCCTTTGATGACAGGGATTTAGAAAGTACATATTCATTTCTTTGTCTAGTTACAATATGACTAAAATATTGCCGACATGACTTAAAATTTTAACTCACTCACTATTAGCAAAATTAGCAAAGGGACGTAAGCTTTCCCATTCAAAATGGTTTCCGATCATAGTGTCCAATTGACCTTTGATTTGCCCAATCATCATGTCCGTTTTAACAAACTTCATTCAGTACAAGTTTTCAAATGTGATTCACCTTGATATAACCTGTCTGTAACCTCCAAACAAATATTTCTTTTTAAAACTCTGACCATGCCTCTATTAATGTTGTTTTGTTTGAATATTCAGATAATGCTGTGTATGTGTCTGAAGGCCAGTCTGTGGAATTAAAATGTCCAAAACCTCAAGGCACGGTTCCTACCCTGGTGTTCTGGATCACGCCCAGGAAGCAGCGCATCCGGCCCCACAGTGACAACAAAAGGTGGGTTTTTATCCCCCGCCCCACAAAGTCTGTACGTCCGTCCGTCCGTCACATTTCATTTCCGGAGCATAACTAATAAACCGTTCAATATTTTTTCATCAAACTTTGCAGGTCTGTCATGTACATGCTGAACTGGTGCTTTTTGCTATTTAGAAATTTTAGAAATTTTTATTTTAAACGTTTCCATGGCAAGTTCCACCTCGGTTAAAAAAGGTTAGGGTTTGTTTAGATTTAATTATGTCATAAATTCTGCAACAGGGGCGGGGGATATAGCCACGTGAGTTGCAAACTCTTGTTTTTGTGGTGGGAGGGATGGTTTTTGTCTTGCCCCAATGAGGCAATATTTTACGGACGCCTCTCTCCTTCTATATCCCAGGTCAAAAACGTTACATTGAAGTTATCTTTTCATGCCTTGTTTTTCATACTTCCTGAAAAAAGTACATGTTTGACATGAGTGGTTTCTGTGCCTACAAAAAAGGCGTGGGACCTGTATTTCAGTGCATGGGACCTCTATTTTAGTGCATGGGACCTGTATTTCAGTGCATGGGACCTGTATTTCTGTACATGGGACCTCTATTTCTGTGCATTCGACCTGTATTTCTGTGCATGGGATCTTTATTTCTGTGCATGGGACCTGTATTTCAGTGCATGGGACCTGTATTTCAGTGCATGGGATCTCCATTTTTGTGCATTGGACCTCTATTTCTGTACATTGGACCTGTATTTCTGTGCATTGGATCTTTATTTCTGTGCATGGGACCTGTATTTCAGTGCATGGGACCTGTATTTCAGTGCATGGGACCTCTATTTCTGTGCATGGGACCTGTATTTCTGGATATGCATATGCAGAAATGCAGGTCCCATGCACTGAAATACTGTTCCTATACACAGGAATACTAGTCCCATGCACTGAAATACTGGTCCTATGCACTGAAACACTGTTCCCATGTACAGAAATACTGGTCCTTCTATATCTCCCTCTCTGTTATGTCACCAGATTCACAGGGTCACTCAAGGAATGTTCTCACATGGACCCTTTATGAGACAATTTCAAATATTCAAGAGGTACACCCAAGGGCTGTTACGATTCACTCGCATGTTCGGTGAATCGAACCGTATCCCTTCATGAATTGAATTTGTTATTCGTGGTCACTGGAATCAAATATTCACAAAAAGAAATTTTAAAAAGTGTTTTTTACTTGAAGTTGTCTGTTCTTTATCAAAGCAAGATATGCAAAATGGAATATATACCATGCAGTAGTCTGCCCTGTAGGTCATCTACAACTCCAGCTCAGTTAAACGACTGATTGTCCATACCGCTCATCAATTATTTGGACCCCAAAGGTAGCATTGTAGCAAGCGATCACTGTATTTTTCTCTGAATATTATAAATAATACATCAAGTGCTGGCTTGTTGTATTCGTGAATAAATATTCATATTCGATACCCTATATTTGTGATACGTATCGTATATGTGTCATTGTGTATTCGTTGCAGCCCAAGTACCCCAACACTTTCCCATACAGCACAATGTTAAAATGCCCCATTATATTTGAAAATGTGGGCCTTTTTTTCAAATATAGGGGCTTAAAAGCACAAGGCCCCACCCTAGAATTATCCCTGGATTCACTTTCGGGCATTGGAATATTCTTCATCTTGTACATATTGTGCAGGATTCCACATCACGTCACATGTATTGATTGAAGAGAAAGGCCGACAGTCTTTGTAAGACATGGAACATGTTCCTCTTTACACTACAATCAGGGGCCTTTTATGTGCACTGGAAAACCAGTTCCTCACTTGACTCAATCATGATATTTTTCAAGCTCAAATTTACAGATACGATTATTTTGGAAATATATTATAATAATGTTTATTAGGAAATTTTAGGGAAAGAAATGTGCAGCATTATCTGTAGAACAAATTTTTTTGGATTTCTTTTTCAAGTCTTTTTTTTTATTTGGGTCAGGTTTTTAATGTCTTCATTTGATTGCAACCAAATATATTTTTCACATTTGGACACTTAAACTTTTCATAATAACCAATTCTTAATTTTTTAATGTTTGAAGGAGAATAACTCTCTTACATGTGTGTGTTCACAATGTAACAGAATATTACCGATTGTTATTCAGGAGCTTTGTGGGCCATGATTTTTTATCAGGTAAGGAGTAAGCAGGCAGTTTCTGCAGGGTTAGCCACGATCTCCAAATAGGTGACATCCGGCTAGCACAATTTGTTGTTCAAACAGCATATTCAGTCTGGATCCAGTGAGAATTCTCGAGCCGCTAAGATCGCTTTGTGCAAGTGGGCCCTGATCTTCAGCACGACTGACCAATGATTGGGAAAGCCCCAAATCATCCCCATTTCGTTACTGTATTGTGCCTGTAGCAAAATACTGTAGCATTGCTACAACCTTTAAGTTGCTGTCATGGCAGGAGAATGGGAGGTTCTAGGACATATTTTATTACATTCAAAAGTTATATACGTACATGTATTTTCATTGGTTGAGAAAGGGTCACAGCACTCGCATAACCTTCTTTAAACATGGTTGGTTTGTTGTTTAACGCTGCACTCAGCAATATTCCAGCTATATGAGGGCGGTCTGTAAATAATCGAGTCTGAACCAGACAATCCAGTGATTAATATCATGAGCATCGATCAACGAAATTGGGATCGATGACATGCATCAACCAAGTCAGCTAGCCTGACCACCCGATCCCGTTAGTCGCCTTTTAGGACAAGCATAGTCATCTTTTACGGCAAACATGGGTTGCTGAAGACCTATTCTACCCCGGATCTTCACGGGTCTCTTTAAACATGGTATTGCCCTGAGACCCACCCTGCCCTGAAGTGATCAAAAGTGGTATTGCCCTGCATGATAAAGCCATTGGACTCAAAGGAGGGAAATATTTTCAGCCCATCAGTTAGTGAGTGAGTATGGTTTTACGCCGCTTTTAGCAATATTCCAGCAATATCACGGCGGGGGCCACCAGAAATGGGCTTCCACATTGTGTGCATGTGGGGATTCGACCCGGGTCTTCGGCGTGACGAGCTCTTTACCCACTAGGCTTTCCCACCTCCCCCAGCCAATCAGTGAGAGCGTAACAAAAGGCGTGAAGTGAAGCAACATTTCCTGTGTCATCTGATTCAATCATTGTTGAATTTGAAATACCATATTCGATGTAAGAAGCGCCCGCAGCGATATTTGCTAATATATTGGCCAGTGAACAATCCCAATTAGCACCCCTTCCGATTAAGACTTATTTATTCGCGTATAATACGCACGTTATGTGCATACTTAATTATGGGCAATTAAATTCTGGAAAAATATATCTGTCGTACATAACCATTTCAGGCTGTCAGCATAAACCACAATATTTATCTTTCCACTCTGTTTTTTTCACTAAAATAATATTCCAATAAGAGACCCCTATTTCGAATTTTGAGAGCGCCCTGGGCGCTTATTACGTGGAATATGGTAGTGTTGTTTTATTTATTATGTAATAAAACAATTATTGACCATAATTCAGAGAATGTTTTATGGAACCTAGAACTGATACCGACATGTTTAACACATCTCATCTAGTGTTTGTTTGTTGATAACATACGGCAGCCATATTGGATATCTTAAGAAAATTTGTGAGGAATTAAGTAAGCACATGTGGTATCTTAAACTTATGCGAAGAACAAAGATGCTATGTGAATGCGACTCAAGAAATTACTTCAAATTAAAGTTGGCTGGAAATTCTAAGAAGCTTTGTGAATCTTAGCTCGGAGACCCCAAAGAATTGCAACTCCCATATTCAACGTTGACTTTCAACCGTCGTATTTCTAAAGTGTCTTTGTTCAAGTGGATTCAGGGTAATAATATATCCTGAAATTTTATATACTTGTGTGGACAAGATGTGATTATTATTGATAGCTAAATTATATAATCATTAATTTTGATATTGACTTTACTTTATTAGTATGGAGTTTTTAAAAAATATTAGATAACAAAAGATATGGGTATCTTTTTACTTGGTGTACAGATTTTACAAAACGTAAGGTTGATGATCCATGAACTATTGAATTGAAGAAATAAATGCCTTATTGAGAGATATATTTTCTTGCAGGATACATATGTCTGGATCTTCTCTCCTTGTTGATGATGCTAGATATGCTGACCAGGGGATATACAGTTGTATTCTGCTGATCAAGGGCTCTCACCATATGGTAGAAACTACACTTCGTAAGTCTTCTCCATGTCAAATATATATTTCAGTTGCCTCTCGGTCTCTAGGGATTCAGGGATAGAACAGATCCAGGGTACCCCATGCTTTTTTTTAGTCCAGACTCATTTTTTAAACTTGGTTTAAGAATCCTATGGCTTTAAAAAATTTAAATGTGAAAAAATAATGAAAACACAAAAACAGTAGGTTTTTTATATTCCATTGACCAGAAATAGGTAAAATGTTAAAAAAAAAACATTTTTATTGTTGCTATCACCAGCTTCAGTATATTAAATTATATGAAATATGATAATTAATACCCTTTGAAAATATATCTTCAAAACTCCTGCCCCTCCATTATTTTGCTCAAGAAAAATTCTTACCTAAAATTTGGAGGAAATTGAAATTGGAATTAATATTATTAAAATAATTTTCGACTGCCACCTTCAATTTTGTGGCCAAACATACGCAAACATAAACGTAAAAGGCTACTGTCACTATTGGTCTGTAGGATACCCACAGGGTAATCTCAATTCACTATGTGAAGTTGCTAATCCATTACGGTTTCAATTTTCACAAATTCACAAGATTTCATCATTCACCATACGACCCGGGAAGATTCCGGGGTAGAATAGGTCTTCAGCAATCCATACTTGCCATAAAAGGCGACAATGCTTGTCGTAAAAGGCAACTAACGGGATTGGGAGATCAGGCTCGCTGACTTGGTTGATACATGTCATCGATCCCAATTGCGTGGATCAGTGCTCATAATGTCAATCACTAGATTGTCTGGTCCAGACTTGATTATTTTACAGACCGCTGTCATATAGCTGGAATATTGCTGAGTGCGGCGTTAAACAACAAAAAAACAAAAACAAAACAAATTCACCATACCGGTAACGCCAACCAGTTGGCACAATGATTTGGCACAATTGAGACTTTTGGTCCGTCCCTTGAACATTTGTTGAACGGTCTCCTGATGTTGAGTATCTAATGTCAGTTCTTAACACTCCAAATTAAGAATCTGTATCTTCCCATGATATGAAGTTTACAACATAATGCTGCATTATCTCCCTTGATTCTTCAGACATCTTCTCTCCTCATCCTTTCGACTAGCTAAGGAGAGAAAGAAAAAGTCTTATTAACACAAAGATAACCATTGTTTCAGCAAGAATGAGATTATACTGATACCCTCTTATTTATTTCCATTTTTTCTTTGCATAAAACATGAATCATTATAGCATTAAAGTGTTATTACAATATTAACGTTGTATCGTTGAATACTGTTAGTGTGATGTCACTGGTTTGCCAGACTTAATTATTTACAAGCTGTTGTGTCAAAGATGAAACATTGCCAGTGTTAGAAATTGGCACTAGTCCTGTAGTCCTAGCCAAACTGGCCAACAGTTAAAGGGCAAGTTCACACGGAAATGAACCAATTTTTCTTGTACTTTTTCCACATTAAAAGTGTTAACATAGAAGTGTCATAGACAAAAATATAAAAACATCATATTTAATTAACATATTTTTTGCATTAAAACGATTTATATTTTTCACATTTACCAAGTGTTCTATTTCCATAACAAAAACACCATGGCTTATGCCCCTTGCAATATGACGTCATTGGTGCCAATTGATAAACATTATGATGTCATCATGCTTTGTTAGAGCCGCTTCACGTGGTGTAGGTACAGTTTTGTGATTCTAGCATCTCAGATGCCAGCCAGAATTGTGTTATGCTGAGTCACCACTGCGCCGGAGTGTGTCGTAGACCATGTTGTTTTACCGCAAACTGGTCCTTGATATCTTTTGCGTTGAGAATAGACAGGGACCCAGTTGAATTGGCACCAATTACGTCATAATCTAAGGGGGATAACTCAGGCCTATTTCGCTCGTAAAACGAAGGCCTCATAACGGCATATCATTTTAACACTATTGTGAGCTTCCTACTTTCACTGTGAAAAAAAATGAGTGTATATTTTCAAACACAGATACTAACTAATTCTAAAATTGCATTTTGTTTAGAAAAAGAAAGAAAGTGATTTTTGCGTGTACACTTCCCCTTTAAGGTATCGTAAGGACAAGTAGAAATGTGCCAATTTTATGTGTTTTGCTATATGTTTTCATTGTAAGGACTTGTGGACTAAAAATGTTAGTTTCTACCCCTGACTGCTGACTGCGGCGTAAAACAACAAACCAACAAGGGAGTTTTTGTTCCAGTGGTGGACACATGTAAAACCCGTCAATGCCAGAATGGTGGAGCCTGCAAGGTTACAAGCGACCCTGAGTTTGATGGCATCATGAACTACAAGTGCAGTTGTACTGGAAAGTACCAGGCCCCCTTCTGTGTGATTCGTATGTATTCAGTGGAAACACGTTTCTGTTCTCAAGTAAATACAGTAGAACACGGATATAACCAACTACAAGGGACCAGAGAAATCAGTTCGTTATATCCGTTGTTCGTTATACACGTTTTCGCACGGAAACGTCCGCCATCTTGGATAAGACAAACACACAATACACGTAATTGCAGCATTTACTTGTATTAGCAGCGTATATGTTTAATGTTTGTTTTACAGACAAGATTACATGTACAGGTAAGATTGACACAATGCAAATTTACAAGGTTGATCCGTCACCGCTGATTGTATTGATTCGCCGCCATTGTGTTGATTCGCCGCTGATTGCGTACAGCCAATTGTCAGTGACACTTGACACTGAGTGAGATTTCTCAGTTCGCTATACACGTTGTAATGAGTAATAGATGGGCTTGTCGGTGATCAGATATCAGTTCACTGTATCCGTTAGTTCGCTGTAGAGAGTTCGTTATATACGTAAATTATATATGATATTATATAGGAGATTAATCAGGGATTTTTTAACAGTTCGTTGTATCTGTTTGTTCGCTATATCCGTGTTCGTTATATCCATGTTCTACTGTACCAGCATTTTGACAACTGTTGTGTGTGTGATTGTCTGTGTTGAGGAGGAGTGGAGTAGGGTGTAATTCAGTAATGTCTGGCAGATATGAAATCCACCTGACACTGTACATCATTTAGGGCTGGGACGAGTCCAAATTTACTCCCGGGTACCCACTGCAAGTCTCAAGAGTTGGGAACAAAATGTCTGATTGGTAAATGTGTTACAGCAGCCCTGACCAAAACTATTTACATACAGAGAGAAAGAAGAAGATAAATACATGTATCAAACAATCAGATCTAGACTAACATATAGCCTCTGAAATCTTATATTACACAATATCCTTCTTGACTCTAAAAATATAAAAAAAATTCCCTATGCTGATTTCTAGCTTGAGCTGGCTGGACTTGCTTTGGTATGCATTTCTAGATTTATTTTTTCAAAAAATAAATATATTCCACGGTCATGGTGCAGGACTAAATCAGATCATGCGTTCACTGAAGTTGACTGAAGCTTTATCTTTACTCAAACATATACAAGTCAAAAGGAATGTCGTCGTCAGAAAGAAATGCGACCATTAGCGACTTATAGTGTAAACACTGAGCTATAGTGAGTTTTTGTCATTAAACAATATATCACGTGACTAACCATGGGTCCAGGTAGCCCTGCGGGTACCCGGGTCCGACTCAGGACCCACCTGACCCAAGTCCCAGAGTTACCTGTCCCAGCCCTAACATCAATCCATAGATTCAGAATCGGGCTGGGACGAGTCCAAATTGATTACCCGGGTACCCACCTCCCTATTACCCGACCCTACCCAGGTACCCACTGTAGGTCTCAGGAGATGTCTCAAAATGTCCAATTGCAAACATTTTTAGCATAGCCCTGGCAAAACGTATTTAGATACATGTATTAAACAATCTGGTCATTCATATACTGAAGTTGAAATAAGTTATATCTTTATTCAACCAAATGAAAATTAAGAAGGAATGGGTGCATAGTCAGAAAGAAATGCAAACATTAGTGACTTGTAGTGTTACCAGTTCTAGATATTTCTGTCATTAAACAATATATCACGTGACTAACCATGGGTCCGAGTAGTCCTGTGGGTACCCGGGTCCTACTCAGTATCCCCCTGACCCGTGTACCCGAGTTTCCCGTCCCCGCCGTCCCAGCCGTCCCAGCCCTCAATCAGAACATGTCAGTTAACCCTCCTTCCCACGGGGAGTTGTATCCAAAACCAACTCTTGTCCCATTATCTGACTTGATTGAGAACCAGGTGGTATATATGGTGACCTGCCTGATTTCTTGTTATTTTATTGTCATGCTATCAACTAGTCCTGCACCATCACCGTGGAATATATTTATTTTATGAAAGAAAAAAAATCTAGAAACGCATACAAAAGCAAGTCTAGCCAGCTCAAGCTAGGTCTATTCTGAAATCAGCACAGGGAAAAAAATTAATTATTTTTAGAGTCAAGAAGGATATTGTGTAATATAAGATTTCAGAGACTAAAGGTTAGTCTAGCTATCAACCACTGGTGTGTTTTGCCCAGGTTTGATCATATACAGGGAGCTTTTTATATGGCTGTAATATTGCTGACTGGAAAACAACAATAGATCACTCTCTGAAAGTCTCTGTTCTATAAGCTTTCATGCATGCATTTGTCAAGTGTTTTTGTTAGATCTGTGTGTGCTTACCCACAACATACCCAACACATAACACTACCTTAACCCCAACCCCAACCCCAACCCCAACCTCAACCCCAACCCCAACACTATCAAACACCCACACCAAACGCCACACCCACACCCACACCCAACACCACAACAACAACACACAAAGCCCACTACCAACAACACACAAAGCCCACTACCAACAACGCACACAACACCCACGACCAACACACAACACCCACAACAACAACCAACACACCACACCCAACACCATAACCACAATGAAAACAGCACACACACACACACACACACACACACACACACACACACACACACACACACACACACCCTACGAACAAAGTACATGGCACGAGATCTGTGGTAGAATAGGTCTTCAGCAACTCATACTTTCCCTAAATGGCGACTTAGTATATAATGCTTGTCTTGAGAGGCGACTAACGGGATCAGGTGGTCAGGCTCGCTGACTTGGTTGATGCATGTCGTCATACCCCAATTGCATAGATCGATGCTCATGATGTCAATCACTGGATTGTGTGGTCCAGACTCTTATTTACAGACCGCTGTCATATAGCTGGAATATTGCTGAGTGCGGCGTTTAACAACAGACAAACAAACAAACTGCACCCTACTGCCTACACTATACCAAACATCTACACCTAACACACAACCTCCAATATCCCTCTACCCTGGGCTGACATTCTAAGTCAAGACCTCACAATCGGTTTTTGTCCTTAAATGGATGTTCTGTGATTGTAGAGCTTCAGTTATATGTACCGTATTCGACGTAATAAGCGCCCAGGGCGCTCTCAAAATTAGAAATAGGGGGCTCTTATTAGAATATTATTTTGGTGGAAAAAGTTGAAAGTTGAAAGATAAATTTCGTGGTTTATGCTGACGGCCTGACTGTTTATATACGACAGATATATTTTTCTAGAATTTAATTGCCCACAGTTAAGGGTTCATATAACACACGAGTGCATATTATACACGAATAAATAAGTCATGCGTACATTGATCATTCGGAAGGGGTGCTAATTAGGATTGTTCACTGGTCAATTTGTTAGCAATTATCACTGTGGGCGCTTATTAGAGCAGGGAGCTTATTACGTCGAATACAGTAATCACTTTCCGTGCCAGTAAACTTTCAGGTTAAATTGCATCACTCCATAGCCAACATCCCACAAGACTACCATGAGCATAACAACATGCAGTAAACTACGGTTATAACAAACTCAAAGGGACTACTAATTTTAGTTCGTAATAACCGTAGTTCCTTATAAGCATATATACAGCATAACAACAGCCAATAGTCGGGACCAAAAAGTAAGTTTGTTATATCCGTCAGTTCGTTAAAAGCGTGTTCGTTATAACCGTACTTTACTGTTCACTGATGAGTGATTTTTTTCAGCTTTAGTAATGGCTGATGTTGCTCTTGATAACGCTCTTTCTATTGACACTGTCAATTGGTTTCAGGTTCAATAAATGTAGGCAAATACATCGGCCCCATCATCATATTAATCATTCTCCTGATGCTCGTCATAGGGCTTGCCTTGTGCCTCCTGAGAAGGTAGGTGTATAGTGTTGGAGATCAACACCACAACTCAACATGTCATTGGGGATATTTAATTTAAGAAATAGGGGCGGTCGGGTAGCCTTGTGGTTAAAGCGTTCACTCGTCACGCTGAAGACCCAGGTTCAATTCCCAGCATGGGTACAATGTGTGAAGCCCATTTCTGGTGTCCCCCGCCGTGATATTGCTGGAATATTGCTAAAAGCGGCGTAAAACCATACTCACTCATTCACTAATTTAAGAAATAAACGACGAGTGGGAGTTGTTTATCGTACTATAAAACACTGCACGGAGAATAAACCATGAGAGGCGCAGGATGTTAATAAAATGAACAAGCTTTAGAAATATTACCCATATTTGAACAGTGATGACTCCCTGAATAGAATCCAACTGTGGCAATGTACGACAAATCCATTTTATGAGGGGGGGGAATTTGGTATTTCCCGCATATTATCACAATTTGCACATTAATTATCTGTACCTTTTTTCCCAATTCTGATTGTCATATCTCTCCCACTTTTGGATGCGATCGTTCAGCGATTGCGGTTATCTACATTGCACAGCTACATACTACTAGACACTTCCCTCTGAAAAATAACATCAGTGCGAGCGCATGTTCAAATCTTCAGAAATGACGTCATGATAGAACAATAATTAATTGTGAAATAAACCATGCTTCGTTCTTCATTCTTCTTTGTGATGTATCACGTACCTATCCTTTATAACAATATATATAACACATTTTCGACAAATTTACTTGCTCTACTTACCATGTTAATGTAGTGAGGCTAAAATCAGTGACTCTGCAAGAGATAATTGACATCCATTGACCTTATTTGATAATAGGACATTGTGGATGACAACCAGTCAGTGTCCAAGAAGGGAAACTCTGCTTCAGTTACATATGTGTTGTACTGATTTTACAATATTGTGTTAGAATTCATGTATTACCCTCACTATCACTCTGGAAATAAAAATATTCTGCAATTTGTTTCATAAAATCCATTTGACACACATGCTCGTATAATAATCTCTATATACAACCCCTAATTCTGCTATGTGATCCAATGATTAGTCATACTGATTGATGCTCATGTTATCGATCACTGTTTTGCCTTTTCAAAATCCAGTTTACAGATGCAGGTTGATTTTGTGACACCAATAAATTGCTCACAACAGCCTCTGTCAAGTTATTTGATAATTATGAGATTCACAAAGCTGCTTGGAGGATAAGGTCAAAGGAAGAATGGATGTCTTGTGATTCACACATTTTCCGATAAAATTCACAAAGCCTATTAATTGTGTTTTACATTCTTATATGACCTTTGTTATTTCCAGGTCCTTGCGTAAAGCTAAGATTGATTCCTTAGGAGAAAACCAATGGAAAAAGGAAGGTAATCCTTGTAGAAAACAATCTGTCAGGTCTCACAATGAATGTGCTGGAAAATAGATGAGCCCCATAGGTTGGGGCAATGTCGTGGAAATTTGCTGAGTGGTGTAAAATGAGGTTGGGACTTACTCTGAAACTATGAATGTGTATAGTCTCAATTTTCTGTATGATGAATAAAGGCAGTGTTCATATTTACAGTGACAACATGTTTTTGAAATTTCTAGTGAGTGAGTGTGTGAGTGAGTTGGGTTAAACGCCGCATTTAACAGTATTCCAGTTATATCGCGGCGTGTCAGCTTAATGTGGGAGGAAAGCCGGGAGTGATGCAAGTCTCAGACGTTTACCACTTCGGTGAAACGAGCACGGGTATGGTGCCGACAAACCTAGAAACATAATCGGGGTGAACCGGGATTCGAACCCACAATCATAGGTTTCTGGCGTGCCCAAGGGACGCAACTCTGCACAGCGAATCGCGACGACTAGGCCACCGGTGCCCCCTTGGAATTACTAGGTTCTCTGGATCCCTGTTCCTGTTTTTCTGTTTGTATTTCAATCAGTACCCCTGAAATGTTATTTTATTTATTTCGAATAGTGTCATTCTTACAATAGAAGCAGTCCACGACTTCAGCCACAAATCCAAAGCCTGAGTCTAGTAAAATTCTGTTCGGTTTAAGATGCTCACCTGATAACATAGTCTGCATGGTGATATTAGAATACACTGAAAATGATGCTAGGAGCCATGTTTGGGCTTGAGGACTTAAAAGTGTTGGGCACAGATTCTAGAGGCCATTCCAAGGATAGAAATGACCAAAGCTGTTTGTTCGAGAAATACACAAATGTACATTTACATTTAAAACAAATATTTGACAATATGTATTTCCTCAGAAAGCACCCTATCTTGGAAGTTGAAACTTCGGTATGATAGGTCAACATTATCAACCTCAGATTTTCTTCATGCCAGAAGACCCTTGAAGATCCGGGGTAGAATAGGTCTTCAGCAATCCATGCTTGCCATAAAAGGCAACAATGCTTGTCGTAAGAGGCGACAAACGGGATCGGGTGGTCAGGCTTGCTGACTTGGTTGATGCCTGTCATCCTATCCCAATTGGTTGGTTGGTTGGTTTGCTGTTTAACGCCGCACTCAGCAATATTCAAGCTATATGACGGCGGTCTGTAAATAATTGAGTCTGGACCAGACAATCCAGTGATTGATATCATGAGCATCGATCCACGCAATTGGGATCGATGACATGTATCAACCAAGTCAGCGAGCCTGACTACCCGATCCTGTTAGTCGCCTTTTACGACAAGCTTAGTCACCTTTTACGACAAGCATGGGTTGCTGAAGACCTATTCTACCCCGGATCATCACGGGTCCTATCCCAATATGACGGCGGTCTGTAAATAATTGAGTCTGGACCAGACAATCCAGTGATTGATATCATGAGCATCGATCCGCGCAATTGGGATCGATGACATGTATCAACCAAGTCAGCGAGCCTGACCACCCGATCCTGTTAGTCGCCTTTTACGACAAACTTAGTCCCCTTTTACGACAAGCATGGGTTGCTGAAGACCTATTCTACCCCGGAACTTCACGGTTCCTATCCCAATTGTGTAGATCGATGTTCATGATATCAATCACTAGATTGTCTGGCCATCATACAGCTGAAATACTGCTGAGTGCAGCATTTAACAACAAACAAACAAGTAATGTCACTTGGTTCACTGTACCACAACAATCACCTATTGATTTTCCCAAGCAAGATGACCGCCTCCGTGGTCTAGTGGTAGAGTGTCCGCCTGGAGAGCAGAAGGTCCAGGGTTCGATCCTCGGCCGTGTCATACCAAAAGACGTTAAAAGACGGTAGTTGTTGTTGGCTAAAACAAGGACTGGTCGGCTCGGAGTCAGTATACTGTGTCTGAGTGGGGTATTCATGTTAAACTGCGGCATGGTTTCTCAGTGAGCTAGCACTATAAATCGGCATCAGTCCGGACTAGTACAAGCAGCCACACAAACACACCCACGTACATGCACGTCGCTATATAAGTGCAATAATCTTGGACGCGATCTTAAACCCCATTTCACCTCACCCAAGCAAGATCAATCAGGTTCCTGCAATTTCAAACCTGAGAGGTAACGTGTAATAAAAACAGCCTAGCATCACTTGTATGCGAGATGGGTGCAGTCAGCGCTTCTCAATGAAGCGCTCTACACAAATTAATTTAATCACCATGACAAGCCTACTCACGTGTGACTCCAGTAAGTGTGATTAAAGTGTCCTGTTAATCCCAAAATAGTGTTTACTATTATCAATCATATATGACCCGGAGGATATATCTAGAATACTGCTGTGGCAGTGGTGGAAAACATCATTTACTTAATCTATAATTTATTTCTTCTTGAAGGCACACTGCAAACGGAGAAGAAAACAAAACCCCACAAGACAGATGGGAAGCCTGTACCCATGGAGAGGCCAGAAGACAAAGCTGATATCGCCAACGCAAGCATTGTCAGTAACGATGGATCCTTTGTCGAGATTACTGAACATGATTATGTTGACTTTGATGGTTTTGACCTCCCCCAGGAAGAGAAGAACCCAAGAGGAGGCTATGAAAGTGGCCATGCTTCAGATGGGTATGAAGGCAAATTCTTGAAATATCCAAGTCCCCCCTACAAAAATGTGGGTAAGAATTATGAACAGAAAGAGTTTGATTACATCCCGATGGACTCCCTTCCAGAACATGTCAGCACTCACCCAAATAAACCTGCAGGAGTTTACAATGATGTGTCAGCGTTCAAAGACGTCTCCAGTGGAAACATTGAAAACTTCTATGAGAATCTCAGCTCGGAACAAAGAGCTAGGCCATTCTACCCTCCACCATCGAAAGGTGAACAAGAATATATTGAGACAATGAAATACAAAGCTAGCTTAAAACAAGGAAAAGCTTCTATTGACAGGGAGGCACTTGCCCAAGAGGCTGTGGAAATTGTTGCAAAGAATCTCACAAGGCAGTGTTTGGTTGAGATCGAAAATGAGTCCCAGAATCCAACAAAAATTGTGTCCACAGCTTTGAATTCATCTCAGATGAGATCTGATTCGCCTGGACCAAATAAATATCAGCCCCATGGACGTCCTGGTAACCCCAATACCAATATGACAGACATATCTGCTGTGAATTCAAAATCCCCTAAAAAGAAAACCAAATCCACCCAAAGAGAGGAAACAGCGAATCTGCAGACTAAACATCTTAATAGAGTCCCTCAGAACACAGCACCTGGTGATGTTTCTGATCCCGCTAAGGATAACAGACCTGCTTTTAAGAAAGGAGGAGTAATACCACCTGAGTCTCAGGGCTTTGTACAACAGCTCCTCACACAGACAGAGGGGAGACGTCCAATGGTTTCAAAGAACAGGAATCCTGTACCCAAAGCAAGGAGAATTCCTGAAGACACAACCAGGCAAAGCCAAATAAGATCTCCAGTCAGCCCAACTCATAGACGGTATGTATTCCCAATGACACTGTCAGTCAAAGACAAGCAACAAGAGGCTGAGTTTCTCAAGCACTTTGCTACATCTTTTTCCAGCCAGCCAGTAAGCCCTACTACCAGTACACCAAAGAAAAATGACAAGATAGCATGTATGAATGTGATCATGCCTTCAGACATTATGAAGGAAGAAGAGGATGACTCTGAAACTCTTGGCAAGAAGGGGAAGTCTGGTGAGCTAATGGTGGTCACGTCTAGTAAAGTCCTTGGCAAAAGAGAACAGGAACCTGTGACTCGGGGCAGAGGCAACATCAGCAGTAACAACAGACAAACCTCTGCATCAGAGATGTCTTCTGGGAGTGAAGTGTTCTCAGACTCATACTACCAGTCTCTAACTCAAGTCTCTGAGCCCACTGATTTGAGTGGAGGAAGCTTCTGTACACTAGACACACCAACCGTCGAGCCCACTGATTTGAGTGGAGGAAGCCGTTTCCGTACACTGGACACATCAACTGCCAGGCCCACTGATTTGAGTGGAGGAAGCAGTTTCCGTACACTGGACAGATCAATGTCGTTACAGGCAATGCCAGATCTAGACAACACTGTCAGCTTTCCTAAGCTGACCATCAGCTATCACGAGGAGAGTCTTGGTCAAGCTGCTGGATCTTGGTGTCCATCAAATCCTGGACAAGATGGCAGCCTCTTCCAAGGGGAGATAACTGAGGGGAGTGTGTATTTGAGTGACTATAACTACACCCAAGGTACACCTGATGAGCTCTCAGAGAGTCAATGTAGTGGTGACCACACATCTGATGATGATGATGCATCTGATGATGATGATGATGATGATGATGATCCATGAAGTCTGATTACGTGAAGTTGTTAAATTGTGTCCGAAGAGATTGAAATGGCTATCCAATATGTACCCAAATTAGATGGGATTTCAAAGATTTAAGAAGTAAATGTGACATACAATATTTTCGTGAGGCATTCAAGGTATTTTATTACAATATTAGTGAATCACTCATAGATGTTGTGATTATGGTAACAGTGGTGCTTCTTCTGATGTCACAGTTTGCTTAGCATTGCTGGTGCCCCCCATACTGTTCCATGAGGCCAGACCAGTCTTGTTTTCTTGTCAGCGTGCCATGATGCAGGAATTATAACACAAACTTTGCCAAGGTTCATTTGAAGATCATTTCCTGATAGCAGCTTTTGAAACAAATATGCAATCTAACATATTTTCAAGACAAAGTTTACATTAATCAATCACTAATCAATTAAGATGAATAAGGTCTTCTATTTTTATGAACTTTTTGGCAGACTATTCCATACATACATTATTATTGCTGTCTTTTACATTAAGTGATGAATTTGTCCCAAAAAAGAAATAAAACATCCATTTCATTCCACATGTCGTAATGTAGGTTATCTGCGATAGTTAATTTGTAAGGCCACATTTTTTGTTCCACAGATTTATTCCAGGTTTTCCGCACAAGGTCAGCCGAAATAAAAATAAATAGCTATTTTATTTATTTATTTATTTATTTATTTATTTAAAAGTCATTCTGCTGTGGAGTTGAAACTGCAGCTGGTTTCCTGATCACTGATAGTATGTAGATATGGAATTTATATATAAGAGGGTCTATATTGCTTGTGGGAGACATGATAAAAATAAATAATTTTATGTTTAGTTTATTTTGTGGACTGCTTTTAAGTAAGGGGCGGGTCGATGTCACCGTGGACCCGTGAACCGGAAAATGAAAAATGTGTATAACATGTTTGTTTTTTTATGTAATTGAAATAACTGTTGATAACTTCTTGGTGTTGTCGGTTTAACCATAGCTCATTCCTGCAACAGTTTTTATCCCCCGCCAGGCCAGAAATGGCCGAAGAGGGATTATGTCGTGGCGCAGTCCGTCCGTCTGTCCGTCCCACAGAGGGTACTAAGCTTGTGAAATCAACTCCTCCTACAGTTTCCAGAGAATATCCCTGATACTCTACACACAAGATGTCGACATGTTGATGATAAGCATATCGCAGTCCCGTTTCGTTTCGACTAATTTTGACGAGTTACTGCCCCTGTTTTACGGAGCTTCATTTGCCTTATTATGAGAGAGGGTACTAAGCTTGTGAAATCAACTCCTCCTACAGTTTCCAGAGAATATCCCTGACACTCTACACACAAGATGTCGACATGTTGATAATAAGCATATCGCAGTCCCGTTTCATTTCGACTAATTTTGACAGAGTTACTGCCCCTGTTTTACGGACCTTCATTTGACTCGTTAAAAAAAATCATGCGGGGGATGTTGTGCTCTCAGAGCACTATTGTTAAAAAGTAATTTTGTGTAAAATATATTGTTTCAATGAAGACAGGGGAAAGAAACGAATTTGCAACCACACCATGATTTGTGCAGAAAAAAGGCAAATTTATTGATTTTCAAAGATAAGGTGTCAAAGATACCCATAAGGAGTTTGAATTATGACAACATTTTCTAAAGAATGTTTTGGAGCTTAAAACAAATTATATTTTAAGAAATAAAACCATGAAGAATTACTCTTTAAGCACTGACTATGCAGCAGTTGTGTATTTAATATAATTCATTGGATATAATATTTCTAACTTAAGATATTTTCAATTTAAATGAAAACATGATAAATCAACCGAGAGGTAAAGGTTCTTTTAGCCTCAGTTTAGCTAAATTTGTGTTGATTGTTTGAATATGTATATATAATGTTCCTTTTGTGGGATGTGTATATATAATGTTATTACCGTATTCGACGTAATAAGCGCCCACGGCGACATTTGCTAAGATATTGGCTAGTGAACAATCCCAATTAGCACCCCTTCCGATTGATCAATGTACACAAGACTTATTTATTCGCGTATAATACGCACTCGTGTGCTATATGCACCCTTAATTATGGGCATTTAATTCTGGAAAAATATATCTGTCGTACATTAACATTTCAGGCTGTCAGCATTAACCACGAAATTTATCTTTCAACTCTGTTTTTTCTCTCACCAAAATAACACTCTAATAAGAGCCCCCTATTTCTAATTTTGAGAGCGCCCTGGGCGCTTATTACGTCGAATACGGTATTCAGAAATGTTGGTATGTTCTTTATTTTTAAATATGCCACTTTCTTCGAGCAAGGATCAGATCAGTACACATTGAGACTGATTATTGAGAAGAGTCAACCGGGTTAAATTACCTGAGATGGCAAGGAGGAAAAAGAGAAACAATGGTTGTCACTGAACACTGTTCCTTGTTGGTCCAGATGTTTGTGTTTGGCTGGATTAGAAGACATGCATGCTGAGTGTTTATGCTCATTGAAAGTGAAAACCAAGAATATTTTTGCAGTCTTAAAAGCAGAATACATTTTAATAGGTTAAATGTACATTTGTAAAACATTTCAATACTGCTTTGAAATATTACGTGTTGCCAAATTGTTATGTTTGAATCACAAGTTGTTCACTAAATAAACTTGATATTTTTCCTGAAAAACTCTTATACCAGGAGCTGAGTGCGCTGTGCAGAGAAAAGTGAGTGCGTTAGGTACCAATGTTTGTTTGTTGTTTAATGCTGCACTCAGCAATATTCCAGCTATATGACGGCAGTCTGTAAATAATCAAATCTGGACCATTCAATCAAGTGATTGACCAATGGCCCAGTCTGGATGTCTTTCCACATCAAGTTGACGCGCTGGAGTGAAATTCAAATACAGTTCAAACTCGGCACAGATGCAAAGTTGCGTCTATTGGGCAAGCCAGAAATATATGATTGTGGGGTCGAATCCCGGTTCGTCCATATTATTTTTCTGGGTTTGTAACTTGGGTTTTGCAGAAGTTTGTTGGTAAACACTGCAATCTGCAATGGTCCAGCTATATGACGGCGGTCTAAATAATCAAGGTTGCACCAGAGAATCCAGTGATTGATCCAGCAATTTGGATACGATGACATTCATCAACCTCTTGCAGGCATGGGTTGCTGAAGACAAACTCTAACCCAGACCTTCATGAAAGTGGTAAACATCATTGACAAACATCACTTTGGGCTTTCCTCCCACATCAAGCTGACACACCCTGATATAACTGGAATTCCGTTCAAAATGGCGCTATACCCAATCACTCACTCACTGAACAAATACAGTGTTTGTGCCAAAGATAAAAAGCGCAGTAGAAGCGGCAGTAAAAGCTGTCTATTTCACACTCCATTTAACTGTTAAGGAGTGTTTGCCGATAAAGTATACACACTTACAAGGTGATTGGAATCAGGTGTAGAAGAATACATACATATGTACGAATGTGGCGGTAGCTAGATGGTCCTGTCGAGAGCCAGGAAGGCTGGGAGACAGTCGAACCTGAAACCTCTCTGAACAAGTTTCATCCCTGCTCATAATATTATTCACTGAATTGTCTGGTCGGGTAAAAGCTAACACCGCTACTCAGCGAAACATCTCCGAGCGAAAACGGCCTCTAAGTTCACAAGCAAACACAAATAATCGTGTAGCCAAGATGAAGGACCCTAAATCCAACCGTCGCGTTCAACATTTTTGCACTTACCGTAAATCCTTAAACAGATGCCGAATCCAACTACCCTCTGCCTTATAATAAAAAACTGCATTATATGTAAGCATAATTATATTAACCTCCCGAAATATATTAAACTCTGTTCGTTTTTTTTTTAAGGATTTACGGTATGTAGTCACGTGCATGCATGTGTGTGTGCGGCTGCTTTTACTTGTCCGGACTTATGTCGGTTTTTTTGTGCTAACCCACTGAGGTGAAATGGGGTATAAAGTCGCGTCCAAGATCATTGCGCTGAAAAAGCGAAGTGCATGCACGTGTGTGTGTGTGTGGCTGCTTGTACTAGTCGATTTTCAGTGCTAGCCCACTGAGATACCATGCCGCAGATTAACATGAATACCCCCACACAGTATACGGACGCCGAGCCGACAAGTCCTTGTTTTAGCCCCTTAATGCCGAGCGCCAGACAGGGTTACAGCAAGTACCATCTTTATTGGTCTTTTGGTATGACGCGGCCGGGGATCAAACCTCGGACCTTCCGCTCTCCGGGCGTACGCTCTACCACTAGACCACGGAGGCGGTCGCTTACCCACTGAGATACCATAGCGCAGTTTAACGCGGATACCATGGTCATAGACCCGATTGCTCATCGCCTATCGGCGCCAATTATCTGTGGGTTTCCCCTTTTAAGTTTCTCCTATTGTTATCTTATGACTTGAGTTGCTCTGACATGTACAAATACATGCTCTCTGCCTCATAGCACAAATTCGCCTGATGAAGGAGTAGGCATATACTCCGAAGCGTTGTGTTCCTCATAATAAAGAAGTTGACATCCTTTTACTTCCTTATTTAAATAAAGTCCAACCCGTGAAGATCCGGGGTAGAATAGGTCTTCAGCAACCCATGCTTGCCGTAAAAGGCGAATATGCTTGTAAGAGGCGAGTAACGGGATCGGATGGTTGACTTGGTTGATGCATGTCATCGTATCCCAATTGCGTGGATCGATGCTCATGATGTCAATCACTGGATTGTCTGGTCCAGACTCGATTATTTACAGACCGCCGTTTTACAGCTGGAATATTGCTGAGTGCGGCGTTAAACAACAAACAAACAAACTAAATAAAGTCCACCTTGGTTATAACGCCAAACTGATCATAGCGCCTAAGGTTGCCAGAACGGATTTCCCGCCATTAAATTTCCCTGGATATAATGCCAAACTGGTTATAATGCCGCGCCAACCTCCTGTACACATTCACGTATGACTTAGTTTTGACTGACAAGAATGGCATCCCTGGTTATAACACGATCCTGGTTAAAACGCCAAAATCTTCCAGGAAAAATGGCGCTATATCACAACCAGGGTAGACTGTATTCTCCAGGATTGCTGTAGGTAGATGTATTGCTTCACGTTATTTTTTTTCATCAAACTAGTAAGAAGTGTATCTGCACGGAGCTAAAGGATCATTGGTCATATAAATATACTTGAGTGGGAGTTGGGGCCTGGTCGAAAATTCAGGGAAGCTAAAAAACGTGTTATCTTAATCTATTTTAGCAGCATGAACATTAACGGTCGAAAACAAGATACAAAGGGTTTGCTTTAGGGCCTGGAGGAACCCCAAACTCTCTCCGTGTGTCCTCAAAACATAGGGGGTATCATCTTCGAAAAGTATTAAATGCGTACAAAGACATAAAAATATTTTATAATTCACATAAAGGAAAACTCAGGTCAAATATTGAGTGGCCTCAAATATTCTACCGTAGAACATAGAAAGATCAAAACCAAAGTAATTTCTGAGAAGATATTAAAGTGCCACTGTTTATCTGAAGAACACATTA